TTGCCATTGTGTCCTTATTTACTTTTGTAAAACTTACCTAATGTCTAATGCAAACCTTTTAAAGAATATTTTCAAACTCTTTTATGTTTTACATAAGTAGCCAGAATGCCATGGTCAGGAAGATGTGCCAGGTGCGCAGGAATTTATATTGTCATTTTAACGACCTGCGTGGTGTGCCGTACTATGCCGGTAAAAAAATGTGCCGTGTGCTGTACTTTTAGAAAGCTAAAATAGTTTAAATATGGACGCGCGGCAACGCAAATTGCATAATCACACTGACCGTACACACAAACGTGTATCCATATTGTGTTGTGGTTGGATATGAGTTGCTTAGATAGGCTAGATTGCTAACGCGTCAACTCAGGATGTTCTAAGAGTCAGCACAGTAATGAATATTCATTCATAGATCACAATTCAATCGGACATGAATTACAGAACTAAAGAAGGCAACATGGCTTTAGATGTGCCATCGGTGCCTTCTAATGAATAACTGGACTGGTTGCGGCAAGTAGGGTATGAACCTGCATAGTGGCAAACCAGAGCTTTTTTAGAATCAGTTCATTTTTAATTTCCTCATTTACTCAAGATTTAAACCAATTTCTTATGTATGATAATGCTGGTATCCAGGATACTTTACTGGTCTACTTATAGGACTCAAAAATGAACTTGAGGGAGAGTCTAAAAGACTCTTTGCTTTGCCACTATGTGAACCTGTATGTTGACAGTATGATCCTGCATGCCAATGTTGAGACTACATTGCCGACATCCTCCCGGCCGGCAAAATCGACACGATCAATACCTAATAACAATGCACGTAAATGGACTATACAAATTAGGTCAATATGGCATAATTACAAACCGTAATTATGCTACGTGATACAAAATATGAATATATATATTTGCAAGATAAGTCAATGGTCTGTCATTTATTTTTGCTTTATTTGAGCAATTATGGTTTCCAAATCTGGGTGCGTTATGTTATGTCATGCGTACTTTGAATGTGCAAAAATTATAACTATCATGTGAAAATTGTTACGTAGGTTATCATAGAGTATCAAGATTGCAGTTCTGCCACCACCCTTCATTGAATTATCCCGCTTTTTTTTCCAAAATTCAATAATCTCTCTTCCAGCAAAGTTTGCAAAATTCATTAGCTGCAAAAAATACTATCTGCTGTGGTGTTCGAGTTCCTGTTGACGTGACATCCGTTTGCTTGTATGAAACTAATTTTGTAAAGGTTGCTTCAGATAAATTAATCATTGCCATTCCCATGTTCCACCCTCAATTTAATGTAGCTAACAATATTGAATGACATTATTCATACAAATCTGTATCTGTTAAACTTTTACATTTTAAGATCTGATGGAAGCGGCGAGTGTCCCTAACAATATGAGGATGTATATAAAAACATTAATGATCTAGGAGCGGGCTTCACAAAAAAAAAAAACATTTCAACATGGCTATAATTAAATTAAGATCATTACTTGTAGTATAATAAACATGAAGTTTCCCTATTAAAAAGTTATATTTCGTTGGTCATCAAAGTTTATGTCAACTACGCGAGTTGAACTAACAATAATAAAATGTAAGAAATGTCCGGGACTCCAGGTTACTTCTGACTCTTCCGCTTGTCGGATACAGAACATACGGTAATCGTAAACTGCGGCTATTAAACATACGAAATGTAAAAATACGGTGTTCAGTGTTGCAGTATGACCTTGGAGATAATTTCTTCCAAAATAAAGTTCTAGATTTCTCATTCACCAAATTTCCATATCAAGAAAAATCATATATTATTGAAGGATAATTAAAGGCATACTGTACTGAGTATTGCGTCTGTTCCTCCACAAACTGCTCTTGTGCGGCGTAGAATTGATGGCCGGGATTGAGCGAACTGCAGAAGTCAAGATTAAAGAACCACACCGCAAATCATTCATTCACTAATAAGTGCTAATTGCATAAAAAAACACAGGCACGGAAGAAATCTATCTTAATTACAAATTTTCATTTTTATTACAACAATGAAGGTTAATTATAGAGGCAAACAACAAACATTAATAAAAATGAGAATAGCTTCAGAGGGATGCATCACACTCGAAGTCGAAGATCGTTCAGCGTTACTTGAAATCTACAGACGATGTTGCCATTCCATTCAGATGAAAACTGTGTCTAAATCAGAACTGTGTTGGACGGCTCCACGGCCCGTTCCGAGTGCTGTGCGCCGTGGAATCGATGACCGTGATTTGCGCGAACGCGTGCGCAAAGAAAATATAAAAACTAAAAATGCGCAGGAAATTTCCCTGTTTATATACATCTTCCTGAGTGTGGCCAGAATGCAGTACTTAGAACACATAAATAAGCAGTAATTAGTAGATCTAGATTATTAGCATGTTCATTGATTACAACACAAGCAACTGCACTATAGGTTGTAAAATTCAACCAACTAGTCAATAGTTAATTACTTATATTTCATGTAAAGACCTTGCCAGAAAATATATCTACTATGGATGTGCTAATAACGAATACACACGTCTATTCTATAGTCCTTATAAATTTTACAAATCTTATGGTAAAACTTTAGATTAAGTGCATCAAAAAAAAGTTTTTTTTAATTACCTATATGTTTTTTGGGGTGTAGATTAAGAATCTGAAATCCGTTTTTGGCGGTCAGCATCGGAAAACCGATTTTTTCCCCAAGGCTCTAATTCGTCAAAAAAATCCAACAAAAATCGGCAAAAAAAACCTAACCTAACCAAAAATCCGGCAAAAAATAGGCAAAAAAACCTAACCTAACCGTGGTTGCAATGTTGTGGTTGCCTGCAATGTCGTGGTTGCAAGAGTATATGGGTCACCGAGGCTAAGTTAAAAACGCTATAAATCCACGGATATTGGGGCCAAGATTTAACTTGCATTTTATCTTAAAAATATATAAAAAATCGCTTTTCCAATGCCAACCGCCAAAAACAGATTTCAGATTCTTTATCTACACCCCAAAAAACATATAGTTAAAAAACACCCTTTTTTGGATGCACTTAATCTAAAGTAATACCACTCTTGCAATTTTAAAGACAATTTATTGGAGTTGATTATAAAATCAAGTAAATTGAAATTTTCTTTATTTTTCACTGCATTATAGAATTGGAATTGGGTGCATGCTGACCCCAGGCTGTAAAGAAAGACCTTTCAGCTTGAGATATTGGAATTTTTCCAAGCTCTCCAGCAGCCACCTTGACTCCAGCAGCCACCAAATTGGCATCCATGGCCAATCATAAACTATGGCTTGGCTTGGAAATCCATGAGTGATCATAAACTATGGATTGCTCAATCAGCCCTGCCATCACCACGCTCATCTTCACCTTGTTTGATTGCTTTTATCTGTCACCCAATCACAATGTGCATGTGTCTGGCGGGCCCAATGCTACTGCTGAAAAACTCATCTCCGTTTCCATAATTTGTTGGAAGCAAATGACGCATCAATACATTTTAATGTGTTATAGTGTATTCTAATGTAATCTTATGAGATATATTGCAATCTATTACGTTCCAATGCAATCTATTGCGTTCTAATGGTATCTATTGCGTTCTAATGCGATCTATTGCGTTCTAGCGAGATCTATTGCATTCTAATGCGATCTATTGCATTCTAACATGATATATTGCATTCTAACACAATATATTGCATTCCAAGGAGATCTATTGCATTATAATGTGATATATTGCGTTCTAACACGATCTATTGCATTTTAACGCGATGTGACGTGTTTTATTGCGTTACAACGCGATGTGACGTGTTTTATTGCGTTACAACGCAATGTAACGCAATATATTGCGATGTACCAAGATTTATTGCGTTCTAACGCGATCTATTGCATTCTAACACGATCTACTGTGTTCTAATGCAATCTATTGCGTTCTAACGCGATCTATTGCGTTCTAACGCGATCTATTGCGTTCTAACGCGATCTATTGCATTCTAACACGATCTACTGTGTTCTAATGCAATCTATTGCGTTCTAACGCGATCTATTGCGTTCTAACGCGATCTATTGCGTTCTAACGCGATCTATTGCATTCTAACACGATCTATTGCATTCTAACGCGATCTATTCCATTCTCATGCTATCAATTGCATTCTAACGCGATCTATTGTGTTCTAACGCAATGTAACACGTTCTATTGCGTGATAACGCAATGTAATGCAGTATATTGCGATGCAACGAGATATATTGCGTTCTAACGCGATCTATTGCATTCTAACGCGATCTATTGCTTTTTAACGCAATCTATTGCATTCTAACTCGATCTACTGCGTTCTAATTCGATCTATTGCTTTCTAATGATGTATTGCATTTTAACGCGATCTACTGCGTTCTAACGTGATCTATTGCGTTCTAACGCTATCTATTGCGTTCTAATTCAGTCTAATGCAATCTAATGTAACCTAATGAAATCTAATGTAGGTACCATAATTTGATATAATGCATTCTGGTGCATTCCAATGCATTGTAATGAAATGTGCTATCAAATAAAAACTTGATACATTCTAATATGTTCTAATTCAGTTCAGATCAGTGAGTCACTCAGTTCAGCAGTGAGTTTTAAGTTTGAGACCCACTACACTCTGTGAAAATTCTGCAATGTTAACTTGTTCAGAATTGGCAATGTTTCTAGTGATCTGATCAATGCTGACACTGCTAATCTATTCTTCTCCTAATGTCAATAGCAGCACTATCAGGAATTTTTTTATAAATTCTACAAGTTCCTTGCTTTATTCAGTAGGATGTTATTAGTATATTGATCTCCTAATTTTTAAAATTTTATTTATGATTTATTGTATGTCATAATATATCAATATTTAAATTTTATTACTTAATAATATTTTATTAGTGCATATTCTGAAACGAAAGTCATCTGAATGTTTTGAGCACATTATGTTGACATTTTTCATTGTAGTAACATGATTCTATATTTAATTATCATCATTTTTTCCCTCAGGATTAATTGTTATCCTTGTAGGGCAAGACATATATTATTGGATTATTATCCTGAGCATTGACAGTTGTGCATGTTTATTAATGTGAATTAAAAAAATTAAGGACTATATGCAGCAGACAGTTTTGATGGCTGATCAAGGAAAATTTTATACTCTACCTCAATCTGAGCCCATGCAACTCACTGTCAATACATCCCCAAAAACCTCAAACTCCCAAATGAATTGTATTTCACAGAAAGTTCCTGTAGTGCAACCAGGAGGAACCAAAGTAAAATCTAAAATACAGTGTCTAATTTGTAGCAAAACTTTTCACACATCGCATCAGTTTGAGATTCACTATAGGAATCACACAGGTGAGAAACCATTTAAATGCAAGGAATGTGATGCCCAGTTTACAGGCAAAAATCGGCTTGTGCTGCACATCAGGAAGCATACAGGTGAGCGTCCATACATGTGTGGCATTTGTCATCAGAAATTCCAACAAACTGCCCATCTCAAAGTTCACATGAAAAAACATTCAGCAGAGAAACCGTACAAGTGTTCTCAGTGTTCTAAGTGCTTCAAGCATTGCCAGTCATTAAAAATTCATATTTTGGAACATTCTGACAACTGGGAGTTCAAGTGCCAGGAATGTGATAAATTATTCACTACATCTCTAAAGTTGAAGAAACATAGTAAAGTTCATTCAGGTGGTAAACTCTTTCAGTGTAATAAGTGTAACAAGCAGTTCCGAGATGCTGCATATGTTGCCAAACATCAGTCAATGTTCTGTGGTAATGATGGTTATAAAAAAAGGTGGAAGAACAATCGCATCATTTGTAAATCAAAGAAGCGCGCCTGCACTGTACCTACTGAGAATGGAGAAGATGGCGTTTGTAAAGCGCCTAGGTCTCGTGGTAGACCACTTGGCTCAAGAAATCGGAGGAACAGAAGAAGAAAAGCAAAAATTGCTGTTGCCTCTGAGTCAGATGTTGAGTTTGAGGACCTTTTGAAAGAGAGTAAGGATGTTGTTGCCAGCAATAACAGCATTGCTCATGAGTCTGCTGACAAGGTTTTCAATACCAATAAAGATCCTCCATTCAGTCTGGATGAAATAATAAGTAACAATGATGATAATGACTCATCTATTGGTTACATTGATTTGTCTTTCAAATCAATTCAAAATTCCTTAAATTTTAAGCACAATGAAGTAAATATCGTCACTGACTCAATCCAGTCTCAGCGTAAATATCATGACAAACCTGACACGATCAAATTATCAATTGCTGTGAAGAAATCGGAAATAGCCTCAACTTCCAAAGGAACGCACAAACAAGCTCTTAATTCTCAAATTATCTCGTCACAACTCCCAATTTCTCACTCCTCTTCAACGACTGTAGAAGAGAAAGCAAGCACCGCGGTGTACGCAACCTCTTGCTCCACTTCTGTGGTGAACGTGATTTCCACCTCGTCCTTAGAGTCCGTTGGCGGATCACGAGCTATTGCTGCACATGAAATGGAATCCATGTCGTTACTGCATCCTGTGAATAATCGTTATGGCGCAGAAACTCGGTCTGCTGTCCATAATACAGCCATTTCTCACAGACTGTCACAAGGTACATCACGGCTATGCAATGCCGAACAGGCGAGCAACTCAGCCGTGCAGCAACAGATAAAATTTTCACCTCTACAACGCACACAGCAACAACAACAGTCATTGAACATGATTGATCAACCGTTACAGAACGATGATAAAAGTCAGGAACTGAGGGGAGTTTTCCCACAATCAATGCCCCAGCCGGACCAGCAGCAGGAGCTCACTCTCCACCCCTCCAAAAGTAGTCCACAACAGAGAGCGCTTCAGCAACTACAGTCGCACCATACAGTGCGGCTGCAACAGCATCAACAGCAATCTCACCATCAACAGCAACCACAACATCCGCAGCACGAGATGCTCATCCAAAGTCACCACAATCATGCCGATCATTTGTTGCAGAATTTGCCTCAATCATTAGCCGTATCATCCAATGGACTCGTCGGGCTGCACAAGAGCGTACCCAGCTTGAGTGGACCTCAGTGTCAGCACAAGAGTCAGTCATCAGCACAGCTGCAACCAATGGTTCAAATGACAGATAATATGTTTGAAGATCATTCTGGCTCTGGTAATCTTAACCAAGCCAACTTTGCCAATTCATATCCTGTGCTGCCAACTTCGTCACATGGACACATCGATTCGAATTCTTTGATGAACTACTCTTACTCTGATAACGTCAAAGACTTCTTCAATTTGTCAGTTCTAGCAGCTTCATATGACCCAAATCTTCCCGTAGATTTACAAGACAGTGCTCAAAATTTGCCTATATCTCTTGATTTATCAGTACACAATAATTTACAGAATTTGACTCAGAATCCTCAAAATCTGAGTATCACCCACAACGTTAACAATTTGCACCACTCGATGTCTGCTGTCGCTGAAAGTATCGGCGGAGCGCCGCAAAATGTTACAATTCCTCAATCATATGACGTTCCTCAAAGTTTGGGTGTGGTTACGAACACCCTAAGACCGCCACCCCCGTTCTCTTCCCACTCTCACACTGACGCTTCTATGCCGCACGATCTTTCCCTTATTCATCAAAATGCGTTTGCACAGAATCTTAGCAATGAATCAGATAACAACAGCGTTCAGAATTACTCACGCTTGAATGCGACTAGTATGATGCCGCAAAATCTCAACAATTTTGGTATTCCTCAAAACCTTTGTTCATTGCAAAACTCTAGTCCCATGATTCAGAATATAAGTTCTATTCCTTCAAATTCACAAAAATTCAATCTAAATTCTCTTCCTCAAAATCTAAGCACTATGTCTGATACTCTAGCACCTCTAGCTCTTAACATTCCTCTACTTCAACACGATTCGATGCCCCAAAATTTAACTGCTCAGAGATTGTCTTCGTTATCTCATAATTCGTCAAATTTTCCATTATACTTACCTCAGTCTATACCTCAGAACCTGAGTCTTCAAAACGATTTTGCGGAATCTTATTCGAGCAATTCTAATAATTTAATGTTGTCTGCTACAGCACACGACCTGAGCACTCCGCAAAACCTCTCAAATCATACCAATATAAATCACGTGCCTGGTACTGCCCAGCTCACTGACGATTTACTTCAACCTCAAAATCTTTCTCAAAGCCATTCTTCACAACCTGAAAACCTTTCTTTGCCCCAGAATTTATCCTTGCAGTCTTCGGACAAGAAGAATTCTTGTATGTCGCAGCCGCAGAATCTGTGTGTAACGAGTAATGCCATGGCATCCAACATCCTACATAAGGGCATTTCACTCCCTAGTGTTGCATGCCAGGTAGCATCGATTAACCAGAATTCTTTTCAAGGGCAATCTTCTATTTTGTCAAGTGTGGATGGCGTAGACCGTTCTATAAGCTCCGAAGATATCAGGAATTCCGGATCGTTGCACGGACGACTAGATGGCTTACCCATGAATCTTAACACACCAATACCTTCCATTTTGTCTAACCCCTACAGCGCCCATCTAAACTCATCCGGTAATAACAACCAGTTCAGCATGCAACAAAGTCTTTCCATACAAGCTTCTTATAACAACATTGACATGGGATTGACGTGTTCCATGTCAGAAGATCACAGCCAAAAGTTTGGTGTGCCCCAAAATTTGTCTCACCCCGGCAAGCTTAAACAATACATAGAAGATCTCTCGTGTCATTCGAAGCTAAATTCCACGCCTGATAATATTCCTCAAAATTTATCCATTGATGCACAACCGCATAATCTTGCATAGTTAATGTCAGGGCTGAGCAAATAAATATTTCGCCTTGCAAATTCAACTGATGCTCTATTTCAGTGTCTCTTAATTGGTCGTGCGTATGTTGGTTAGGTAATACAGATATTAACATTATCTAGGAAACCTCAAGAGTTACGTCTAGTGTCAAAGTCTTGTGATAAGACGTTCAGACGTAGTCAAAATAAGACGTTTGTCAAAAATAAGATGCATAATATATTGAAACACGAGTGCACTGATTGTTTTTTCTGTACTGAGACAATTAGTATAATTGTAACTAACCGATTTCGTATTATATTTGACAAGGATTTCAAATCGATAGCTCGCGAGCTATCGATATGAATATAATCGTACTTGATAATTTCTTTCATACAATGTATACAGCAAGTGCTTACTGGCTTAAAATTTTGATACTAATGATGAATTGTATTAAATTCTTTGCGCTGGAATGTTGATCGCATTCAATCCATTGATTTCAATCCATCGCATTCGGCGCCTTGATTTCTTTGACTCGGAATCAAACTTTTGCATTACCAATGTCGGAGACAATGGAGTCCAAGATACTGAGTGATGAAAGCTCACGATTGACATGTACCTTGACTAACTGCCATTAGTATAAAATTTCTAATGTGTTCCAATTCTTTTGTATCTACAGTGAATGTGAAGCCTACCGATGTGACATGAAAAATTCAAAATTTTTATGCTCTACTATGAAAATTCGATGTTGGCTTGGTAGTTTTACCTTCACCTGCATATAAATTATTGAGTTAGTCCTTATTTTACGCTTGAAATTTTCATTTGTTAAATGTGCATATACATATCGTCTACAATACAATATCATGTATTATCGAATAATTTGAATAATTGTATCTTTAGTTGTTCATCCACAAACCCTTGTGATATCGTTGCATAGAGTAAGGTTGCAAATAAATTTGAGAAATTCAATTTTTGGCATTTCCCTTTTCGGTTTTATTACCAATAATCGTACTTGATAATTTCTTTCATACAATGTATACAACAAGTGCTTACGGGCATAAAATTTTAATACTAATGATGAATTGTATTAAATTCTTTGCGCTGGAATGTTGATCGACTGTGATAAATTTTTAAGGGGACACTCCTATATTTTCTTGAGAAATCTGAACTACTTTAATTATCGAAATAATTAAATCTCTTTATTCCATCTCCATTGCAATTAATGTATGAATCTCCGAGTTTGCAAGTCTTATTCCATTACGCCACTGTTGTTTTTTAGGTAAATAAATTGTGATTCTTTCAGTAGAATCATGAGGAATTCAATTTTATTTTAAGATAAAAGCAAAGCTCGAGTACAAGGCACAGTATTGGAGGATTATCGAGCTAAAGGCACTAAAACTCCACTAGCCTGTAGTTCGGCGAAGAGATTTTCATCTAGTCGACAAGTAAGAAAATCTATTAAGAATGATATCGAATAATGATTAGATTTCTTTTGTGATCAACACACCATTACAAATTGTGATGGATGAACTAATTGGAGCTAAATTTTATTACTGGAAAGTATATTTTCTAGGTTTCCATGATTCGTTAATTGAATGTGGTTAATTGGATACTTTTTGGGATATGAATCGTTTCGTTTCGGGTCTTCGTACCTGACCCAAAGTTAGACGTGGAGCCTCAACTCACATGGTCTACCGAGTAATTTTGTCTGACTGAATTTATGATAAAGTTCCGTCTCAACAACAAAGTTTATACGACAATGTAAAAGCCTGCATTATTATTTATTGTTGATGATATTCCCGAATTCAAGTCCTGCAAGTTACCTGCAATAGGATGTGGCTGTGGCGTTGAACCCATGTCTTGACTCACGCAGTCAATTAAGTTCTTAGTTAAATACGACATACTTTTGCTTCGACCCGCGTCGAGCTGACACAATTTCCAATAGGCGTCAAAAATGTGCAGGTACATAACCCTTCCTCTTCAGATAAATTTGCTGTTTCTTATGCTATTCGTGTCTAAATGACTGAGTAACAGTCATAAGACTGTGAGTTAAACAGGTTCAGAGAGTCAATTATATACGTAATCATAATTTGCAGTCTTAGTTCGTATTTTGTTAACTGGTTATTTATTGCTGATAATAATCTTAAATTTTCTCGTCCCTGAGTTTCTAATGATTCAGTTGGCAGCTTCACAGGCATCTATCCATTCATTATAGACGTCGATCTCCTCCATGAGGTAGTTAACGTGGCACTGGTAGTCCTCCAAACACACTCTGCAGTGCACTCTCCCCACGCTCCGGTCCTTGTCTCTGATGAATTAGGAAAAAAATTATTTCAATACTCACTGCAGTGAGTGACAGAGAGCGCATTTTCTCAAAATCGACAAAAACGTGAAGTCACGGACAGACGGACGGACATGACGAGCACAATAGGGCATTTTTTAGAAATGAGAAAATGCGCTAAAAATATCATGGTGTTGAAATTGCTTGCGTCAGTGCGAATAAGGGGTTGAAGCTATGAATATCTTCATTCATACTTCATTCTTCATTCATACTTCATATCTTCATTCTTTAAAAAATGCTAATTATGAATATATTATATATATATGTGCCAAATTAAGTATATATCATTTAATGTACAATTATTTGAATATTTTTATGTTTATTCAATTAAGTCTTGTCTCCCATCGTAGTGCAGAAAGTTGCTAGAAGCGTCCAACTAGAATTAAAAAATAAACTTAGAACAAATAATTGATTTTTGAGCTAGGTTTTGCATTCGGTGTAGCTAAGATCTTAATTAAGTCGTTGCTCCTGCAATTTTATTACAAGTATATTATCGCAGCTCAAAGTTTAGCCAAGGTAAGAACTGCTTGACTAAAAATTACTTGACAATACACCCTAGAAGCTAGTAACGTATTATTAATATTATATACCCAATAAATGGTCAAACTTCAGTACATTAAGGTTAATCGTAGTTTGCAATGTCACACATTAGTCAATTCGGTGGAGCTTTGACACCGCTCGTCTGCAGTAAATAAATTTGCAAGCAATTTCACAGAACTCGGAACAGGCACACGTTTATGACAACGCGCTACACGCAATCTTACACGTTCTTAATCTCGAAATCAAAAGCAATCTCACACGACTCATCACCATGCAGACACGCTCCTGATAATTGCACAAAAACTATATCTGACAATCTCACACGCTACAGGCAATCCCACGCTACAGGAAATCTCGCACGCTACGGGCAATCTCGTACGCTACAGGCAATCTCGTTCTGTTCTAAAAAATGCCGTATTAAGACAGTCTGACACGCATTACAATCGCCGGCCGGTATGCGAAACAAAGCATTGTCTTGCCGTTTTTATTTTAATTTAACCCAAGAAACCCGTACCACACATGAAAAAAAAAAAACAATACTGTTTATTCTAATGATGCAGTCGACCACTAGAACGCCGGTCAGACAGTTTTGTCACCGTTATTTCGAACAGCGTGCACGCTACTGGAGATACCGAATGCCTAGGCAACCCACATGTCGACGTCGCAGGAGCGCTCGTGGTTGCAGAAGGGGCAGGTGAACTGCGTGTCGAGCGCCTCCAAAGCCTTTCGTTTTGGCGGAGGCTTGCGCTTGGATTTGCGCCGCCCCATGGAGTAAAGTTTAGTGAAGTTCCTCCTTTAGTTGAGCTGCTGCGCCAGGGTCATCTGTGCATCATTATCTGCGCTGAAAAGATGAATATTGGCTCATAATGACAGAAATATATGGCGATATTGTAGGATATAGGGTACTATTTTTGCAGGATATACGGAACAATTTTTGTAGAATATCAAGTGGACCCATCATCGGGAGATGCGATACGCAAGATTGCGTGCTGAGGAAGTGTCGGGGATTATTCAGCATTCTGGTTAATTTATGCTTTTTATGGTTTGCCTTCGAGCGGCATATTTTGCTTTCGAGCGGCATGTTGCACAACGGAAATACGTATATTAAGATAAAAGCATTTGCCTAATTTAACGGACGCGTTTTCGTTTAGGAGTGCAAGTTAGAAGTGGTCGCACCTGCATAAAATGACCTTCCGTAAACTGAGATAAAATTGATAAATTTTGAAACGGTAACTTTTAACCTAAATTTACCTGGTTTACATTAGTATCTAACAAATTTGATTAGTACTTCTTGGACTTCTTGCTTCTGGGACTAAATTTTAACATTCCATGTGGATTCATTTATTTTGACGGTGATGGGTCCACTTGATTTCTTATTCACAGTTTTGCATTTCCAGGCAATCACTCAAAATTATACCCTTCAGAACTTTGCTAGTGTTTGTCATATCATAATTATACATTTTAATTGTTGGGCTGAAGAACACTTGGAGGAAATTTGTTTCACAATTTTCACTATAACGTGATCTCATTCGCGAGGTATGTCAATAAGTACTTATGTTGTATCTCTATATTCGTCATCTTGTTGATAACTTGTTTTAGTGGCCATAATTGCTCGCGCTTCAGATCGAGCTATATCGCGCCGTCTTGTTGATAAGGTAAGAAGGAAACATTTTATTGACATGAAAATAACTGTTATTTAACTGTTATATAACTGTTGACATAAATAACTGTTATAAATATATTTAGGACACAAATGAAATGGTTGTGGGAATTACATAAGCGATGGTCGAAACTGTGTTTAAATTACAAGAGGAAGATACTAGAATATTCGGATCAATTACCGTAGATTATTTGAACAGCCACGTGTTCCAACCCATATTTTAGAATTTCATCAGTGACAGCTTCACTATAGAAATTAGTACGTTATGGCTAGTCATGAATTTTTAAAATTCACGAATTTTTAAGAATATATTGTTTCGTTTTTATCATTAGCACTTACCTATGCTAAAATTAAACTTGATTTTGCACTACCGTTTGCTATGATACACTTAGCAGTCTAGGAAAAAATTTTCAAACGCTTCAGACTATTTTTCTAGCATGAAAGTTTGATCTTACTCACTAGATTAGGAGCATAAGTCAACAATTTAACGTGGTTACCACGAGCTATGTACGTGCAAACTACGTTCGATGTGGCACTGTGCCATGAACGGTCTGCTAGGACCACAGAAAACGAGAATGAGATGAACAGAGAAAACTAATTTTTAATTGGGTAGACTCAAACTTTTTAGCTCACTCCTTCCTATCTGTAAACAGATTTTTAAGTTATTCAGTTTTCTTTCCAAAAAGGTAGTAAAAAGATCCCGTAGACGCAGCAAAATGATTTGATGAAGAAAATAATTTATAAAAATGACTTTACTATCTCTAATGAAGTTAGTATAATAATTCCCGTAAAATACACAATTTTGACAGCAAAGTTAATGACATATAATTTGACGATTAACGTTGAATGTTACGATTAATATTTTTACTTTTTTACGTACGCCCAAAGTTTTTTTTATAATTTAATGTGCGAAGACTACGTGAAGGATTCAGAAGCCTTGCGTTCTGATTTGGAAATGTAGTTTCGCTTTAGCAGCGGTGGAATCGATAGTTTCTCTCTCACGCCTTGGCTCTGATATGTCTATGGACGCCAGTATTGGGCTAAACGCTGAAGATGAAGGTTATCGCGTCTGCTCGAGGTTCGGAGTGCCCATAATTATTCAGCTATATGGTGTAGATGAGTTGAACCGCTTGAATATTCTTTCTGCTGGAACGTCATGAACAAGAAAAACAGATTAAAAAAGTAGGTTTTGGAAACTTGAAAATTATCAGTCTGAAATAAATTTTCATAGATATCGGTGTAATTATTATTATACTGGAATGTTTAAATAGGTTATTTCCATTTTTTCGTTAAAGCAGATAAATCGAAAGTTAAGTTCAAGTGCACTTAGTGAAAAAATTAGTTACCGAACGATAACAGCAAATACGATTGCCGTTTTGGATCCAGAAAAAATTTATTGAAATGTTTAACAGGCAAAATTGAATAAACTGATGCAGGTGATAAAAGAAATGCCTTCTCAGTTGATCAATTGAGTTAGAAAACTTTCAGTGATAAACTCGTGAGGTTCAATTTGGTGTTAGCAACTCCCGCTCTTCAGAAATAATCGAAGTGGCAAAAAATGGTAGTTACAGAACAGTGTTTTTCTATTTCCTACGAATAATAGAAACTTAATTAAAAAATGCGGCGTTTTCAGGACTCAGTAATGTGGCGTAAGTTGTTGTTCGTGTTGTTGTTGTCATGTTTGGTGAGCGGCGCCATAGATCCAGGAGCTGAGGACGAAGAGAAGGTGCTACATATCGGCGGCATCTTCCCCATCAACGGCACCTCCGGGTGGCAGGGCGGCCAGGTGATTAGGCTATATTGCTATCCTAATCATCCACCGCCAGCCTAATCATCCCTAAATTCGCCTATATATTATCACCAGCATTTTTATAATTTTATAATCCGTCGATATAATCACCCGTATCTTTTTCGCAACATAATCTCCCTCTTTATAACAGTTAAATTCGTGGATATCATCACCAGGATCTTAAAATTTGTCGATATAATCACCCATGTCCTCAAATTCGATGACATCATCACCTGCATCCTAAAATTGGTCAATGTCATCAGTGACTCATCACCCATATCTTTAAATTCGCCGATATCATAACTCAAATGACTAAATTCATCGATGTCTTCACCCAGGATCCTACTTGAACCTTAAAATTAATAGATTTCATCACTCGCATATATAAATACGTCGATATCATCACCCGCATCTTTAAATTCAGCGATGTCTTCACCAGCTTTATGAAGCCATCGATGTATGTATCACCCACAGGCCTGTCAGCCGGCGGCCATGTTGGCGTTGCAAGACGTCAACGAGAGAGCTGACCTGCTGAAGGGATACAAGCTCAACCTCGTCTGGAACGACTCGCTTGTCAGTTTAATGTTTCTGCTCCTAACTCTAAATTTGAATAGTAATTAAAATTTTCGATTAAGTGTGATGTTGTTTTAGTAATTGTTTGTCCATTATTTCAGCTCATGACGGCGGAGTTCATTAGTTTTACATTTCAGATTAAGTATATAATTCGTTTCAGTAATTGCTTAACGAAGTTTACGCCGGTAGGATTAATCAAATTTGATTTTTAAATCTTCTAAAACACTGTATCTTTATGACATGATTTGCTTTTAAATATTTCATTCTCTGAATTTAAAAACCTATCCCGCCGTAGAAAAGTTTGTACCCGGATGAATGAAATCAATAGCAGAATATGTTAGTACAAACTCAAGTTTTTGTTTTTATTTCCCCTGGAGAGGTTAAACGATCGCGCTTCTTTTACGAATTTATAACCTACACTGTTATCGGCAAAAGAATTATTAATATTTTTTATTGAAGTTTTACTTATTGATATTTTCGAATAAGTTGTGGCTGATTTTAGGTTTATAATGTTTATTATTAAGATTAAATAAGTTGTTTGTTATACGTGCCGCCAGTGCGACCCTGGGCTGGGAGCTGCCGTCATGTACGAGCTGCTCTACAACGCCCCCACGAAGCTCATGCTCCTGGGCGGCTGCTCTACTGTGTCCACCACCATCGGCGAGGCCGCTAGGATGTGGAACTTGATTGTGGTCAGTTTATAACAATACTTAAGGCCTCTCTTTAAATTGTGGTGAGTGGTTCTGCCTAACTTGATTGTGGTCAGTTTATATCAATACTTGATGCCTCTCTTTAAATTGTAGTGAGTTGTTCTGACTGACTTGATTGTAATGAGTTCATAATAATACTTAATGCATCTTTTTAAATTGTGGTGAGTTGTTTTGCCTAACTTGTATGTGGTGAGTTGTTCTGCCTGACTTGAATGTGGTGAGTTGTTCTGCCGTACTTGACTGGTGTGATGTAATAATATTTCATTCCACTATGATTATTTATTTATGTTGATGTTAAACCTTTTGAAATGATCAAGATAATCCTCTATTGTCCGAAGTACTGTTTAGGTATACATATATTTATTTTTGATATTGTGTAAGACTATATGAGAATCATTTTACGTCCCACCGAAGAAAAAATATAAGAAAAAGACGTAATTCCGTGTTGCAAGGTCTCCTTCGGTTCGAGCTCGCCAGCTCTGTCAGACCGCAAGCGGTTCCCGACCTTCTTCCGCACGCACCCCTCGGCGACTGTCCACAACCCCACGAGGGTCAAACTTATGAAGAAATTCGGCTGGACACGAATAGCGATCCTGCAACAGGCGGAGGAAGTTTTCATATCGGTGAGATTGATGGGAGATGACTAATCAAGTTTTCTACTAATTATCATTGAATAATGTAAATAAACCTAAAACTAAAAAAAGAGTTCTTGGAGTTGAAGATAAAGCCAATTCTAGACGTCGCAGAAATTTCGATTGCTATCTTGGACTTGAATGCGCAAATAAGTCCTTTAATCTTGCTGTTCTTAACTTCTCTACCAGTCCACTCACTCTTGGCTTCCCTACAGACTCAATATCTACAGCTTAAAATATTCTTCATACATTCTTCAACCCTTTCTTCTTCACTTGCCCCTTTTTCATCCGTTCGTCTCTCATCATTCATGTAATAAATTTTTGTAACGATGATTTTGTATTTACATTTGTGTACTAATGTTCCATCAGTATGTATTTGATTTGGGAGAAAAATAATCAGCGAAATGTTAATGAAATTTACTCTCTAGTCTGTATCGACACTTACCTCATATGTATGTTAATGCATGTTTTTCATTCAACAGACAGCCGAAGACTTGGAAATCGAGGCCACAATGAACGGCGTTGAAATTTTGACCCGCCAGAGTTTCCTAAACGATCCGACGGACGCCGTGAAGAACCTGAAGCGCCACGACGCCCGCATCATCGTGGGGCTCTTCTACGTGGTGGCCGCAAGACGTGTGCTCTGCGAAATATACAAGAATAACCTGTACGGCAAGGGCAAAGTCTGGTTCTTTATTGGTGAGTAATTACAGCAGACTGTACGGCAAGGGCATAGTTTGGTTTTTTATTGGTCAGTAATTACGGCAGACAGTACGGTAAAGCCAAAGTCTGGTTCTTTATTGGTGAGTAATTACGGCAGACAGTACGGCAAAGCCAAAGTCTGGTTCTTTATTGGTGAGTAATTACGGCAGACTGTACGGCAAAGCCAAAGTCTGGTTCTTTATTGGTGAGTAATTACGGCAGACTGTACGGCAAGGGCAAAGTCTGGTTCTTCATTGATGAGTCATTGTGAAAAAACTGACGGCTTCGCAAATATCTCCAACGGACGTTTGATGCAGTGGTGAAAGATGGCTGCGATTTGCCTTTTTCTCGACTGGTGCCCGCTCTACTATTTATCCCCAAGTGCAAACAATGATTTACTTATATACTCAGATATTTTTTGTATTGTTCTGACTGTATCAAAGTTGTTGATTTCACTCGCTCCATCTATAATTTTTTTTAGGCTCGTAAGAATACTACCGCATCGTTAATTCTACTGAAATTTAACATTCACCTCATTTACGTGAAATAAGAAGTGTTCCTAATTTCTCCGTTCTCCTGTATAGTTTATAAGTCTTCTAAATTATCTAATTAAATTCTCTGTAATTTGCCATATTAAGTGAGATTTCTTAAAGACTGGAATTGTGCAGAAATTTTTTTTTCGAAATGTCATCTAAAGAAGGAGGACCTGATAATTTAGGTTGATGAGGACAGAGTGGGCAGGGTGGCCCAGTGTTTACAGTTCAGAGTACCAGGATTGGCGCAGAGAGGCACGGGTTCGATCCCAGCTCTGTGCGCCAGTTTCTGGTCAGAATCGGCGAGGAGGTCGGGCGGTTAAGCACAGCAGAATTGTAGCAGCGAGTTGCGAGTTCGAGACCGCAAAATGCTGTGAATGTTCTGCGATGTTAAGAGTCGGCGACAGGCCTACGGCCTAATAAACGCTGAAACTGATATTATTATTTATTATTATGATTGAGTGTGCATTTTGTGAAGGATGATACGTGCGTCACCTGTAGGAGGATGATTAACGTGACTGTATTTATGTTGTGAAGGATGGTACGAGAACGGATGGTACGAGCGTCACCTGAAGGAGGAGGAACTCAACTGCACCCTGGACCAGATGAGGAACGCTGCGGAAGGCCACCTCACCACCGAAGCCATCATGTGGAACAGAGACAACAAGATCACCATTTCGAACACCGTAAATAAGTCGATGTTTCTTCTTCATTTTGAGATTTTAGGAATTATGAATTTTGGAATATTGTACAATTCTTACTAAGTTAGACAAAGTCTCTTGCAAATTTGTACATGAGTTGCTAATCTATTCCATTTTGAGATGTAGAAACTTACTTTGCTGAAATTGCTGTCAGTTTCTGGTTGAATCTATGTAACGGTTCACGACAGTACTAAAAAGTTTTTAACATACTTTTAATAGTGTGCACACACTTCTCTATAGTTATAACTCATTTGAAGTTCGATAACTACAATATACTAGGGTTAAACTGCAGCAATGATTTTAATGGTGAATATTCTTGTCTTGATACCATGCGCATAAATATTCTTTCCAATTTGGGCGTCATATTTCATTTCATTTTGTGCGCAGACTGCTGAGGCCTTCAGGAAGCGGCTCGAAAAGGAACTTTTTAACCGGGGTTACGAAGGTATCCTTGATGACATCTTTCCTGAAGGATATCAAGTGAGTCAAGATAGTGAGTCAACCTTGCAGGTAATGAATCGAAGGCCATGAACAACTTTGAGATCTCACGATTATTTTTACGATCACGATCTGTTCTTCATCATTTTCCGTTGAAAGATCAATGCTCGATTCATTCTTTCTTCCGCAGGAACAACGTATGATCTATTTTAGAATAATAACAGGCCCAAGTATGATAACCCTCCCTTGATTAAATGCACAACACAAGGTCTATATTCCTTCAGGAAGCGCCCTTAGCATACGACGCCATATGGAGCATGGCGTTGGCACTGAACGTCACCATGGAGAAGCTGGCCCAGCAGGGCAAGAGTCTGCGGGACTTCACCTACAGCAACAGCGACATCGCAGACCAGATCTACGAGGCGATGAACGCTACGCAGTTCCTCGGTGTTTCGGTCAGATGTTCTTATTAATGTTTCCGCCCTCGGCCACGCTGGTGCCTTGCATTTGTATTACTCGAATCCCGGGGCTAGAACCCACACCTAGATGAATATTGGCTCATGATAGTCAGACCTAGAACCCGGGGCTAGAACCTAGATGAATATTGGCTCATGATAGTCAGACCTAGAACTCGGGGCTAGAACCCAGACCTAGATAAATATTGGTTCATGATATTCAGACCTAGAACCCGGAGCTTGAACCCAGACCTAGATGAATATTGGCTCATGATAGTCAGACCTAGAACTCGGGGCTAGAACCCAGACCTAGATAAATATTGGCTCATGATATTCAGACCTAGAACCCGGAGCTTGAACCCAGACCTAGATGAATATTGCTCATGATATTCAGACCTAGAATCCGGGGCTAGAACCCAGAATTACGGGGCTAGAACCCAGACCTAGATGAATATTGGCTCATGGTATTCAGACCTAGAATCCGGGGCTAGAACCCAGACATAGATGAATATTGGCCTATGATATTATGACCTAGAATCCGGGACTAGAACCCAGAATTCCGGGGCTAGAACCCAGACCTAGATGAATATTGGCTCGTGGTATTTAGACCTATAATCCGGGGCTAGAACCCAGACCTAGATGAATATTGGCCTATGATATTCAGACCTAGAATCCGGGGCTAGAACCCAGAATCCCGGGGCTAGAGCCCAGACCTAGATGAATATTCAGCTCATGATATTCAGACCTAAAACTCGGGGCTAGAACCCAGACCAGAAGGCATGGTTGAATATAGTTCAACCATGCCCAGACCTACTGGGCCCGAGAAAAGCGTGTAGCTTCTGTGTAAGATTAACACGAAACGAAACAAGTCAAGTTCAATGTTGGCCTAAATAAATCGACGACCCTTTCGGTTTGAGGATCATTAGCAAATTATTAATTTTATTTCTCATAAAATGCTTGCATGGCTTCATGTATAGTACTGAGCCAACGCTTGACAAATAAAATACAAATGACTCCTCTTAAAATACCGAGTAAAAATGGATTTAATTCTGTCAGGTTTCAGATTTCTAGCAATGAACAGTTTTAATTTTTTACTTTCACAATTTAATAAAATGTATTCATAATTTGAAAAATTCTCTGCTAATTCCAGGGTCCGGTCGCATTCAAGACGGATGGTTCACGCGTGGCGTGGACACAAGTCGAGCAACTCATCCGCGGCAAGTACGAAGTGCTGGGCTACTACGACGGCCAGACGGACAACCTCACCTGGTTTGAAGTTGAACGCTGGGAAGGTGGTTATCCGTTCCCAATTTATACTTATTGATTATATAATTGGATTCCAATTCCAGTGAAGTTATATTCTAATGCACCAGTGACCTTTAATTCGGTAGATTTTCAATAACGTCAATCACAAAAGCATTAAAATAAAGCTCCCTAATGAAATGCAATGTATTTAATTTGTTACGGCGATAAAGACACGTTGCGCTAGATATAATGTGTCCAAAGAACATTGAAGTTAATTACTATGTATCAAAAGTCACGTCACACAGAAATTTTAAAATGATTACTTCATGTAAAATAGGAGGCAAGGTGCCCCAGGACAGAACCATCATCAAGAGCGAGCTGCGGACCATTTCACTGGGACTTTTCATCGCCATGAGCTGCATCAGCGCCTTCGGTATCCTCGTGTCCCTATTCCTGCTGCTCTTCAGCTGCCTCTACAGCCACCGCAGGTACAGTCAGCATATTCCTGCTGCTCTTCAGCTGCCTCTACAATCAGTGCAAGTTTGCACTCTGCTTTAGCTGAATTCACCGTCATTGCAACTCCAGTGGACATCTTTCTGCTGATCTATGATGTCTATTAAGTCGTTGTTGCGTATTCGTCGCCGTTTAGGCAGTCTCTATCGCCTGTCATAACGATATAATGAGAAAATCATATGAAATTGCTGAAAAACTTATTGGCCAAACATAGATTGAAAATGTTTTTCTTCGTAGGATGATGCGAATGTCGCATCCTGCTTGCAACAACGTCACACTCGGAGGATCTATCCTTTGCTTCAGCTCGGTTTTCCTCCTCGGCTTAGACGGAAGGTATGCTAAGAGCTTAAATTTTTTGATCGTAATTTATTTAAAGTATAGGTAAAACATCATCAAATACTGGAAGAAATTACTCCGCTGACACCATCTGAGGGTATCATCAAGTACAAGTGATGCAGAATTATCTCTTAATTCCACATTTAATGATCAGTTAAGAATTTTTCAAGCATAATATCACGAGATACAAGATACAGAATGATCTTATTTACAATTAATATCACAACAACAGATTTATACCGGAAGAGAACTTCGCGTACCTGTGCACTGCACGAGCCTGGATTTTATCATTCGGGTTCAGCCTGGCCTACGGGTCGCTCTTCTCGAAAATTTGGCGCGTGCACCGCCTCTCTACCAAGAGCAAGGTCGAGAGCAAGGTACTGCTGCTCTTTAAGATGTATTTTTTTGTATTCTACTTATGGCAAGGTCGCAAATAAGGTACTGCTGCTCTTTAGGATGTACATAGTTTTTTGTATTCTTTTTATGGCAAGGTCGAAAATAAGGTACTGCTGCTCTCTAGGATGTATTTTTTGTATTCTACTTATGGTAAGGTCGAAAGCAAGGTACTACTGCTCTTATTTAGGATGTATTTTTCGTATTCTACTCATGGTAAGGTCGAAAGCAAGGTACTACTGCTCTTATTTAGGATGTATTTTTCGTATTCTACTTATGGCAAGGTCGAAAGCAAGGTACTGCTGCTATTTAGGATGTATTTTTAATGTCCCCATAATGGCAAGGCTGAGAGCAAACTACTGCCCTTCTTCAGGATATCTTCAAGAAGTACTAGCAAAGGTAATGCTAGGAATAAGGGATGGATGATTTTTCAGGTTGTCTTGACATTTAGATATTTATTCGTTAACAAAATATCATCTCGATCATTTACTGGTGATTTTCATAGCATTTAAGATTGGTCTACTGGAAATATTAATTCAGACCTGTCATATTCTCATTGTCATTTAGAGAAATTATGATACGTACAAATCTTGCTATCAATTAAATGAGCCGTATCGTAAGTTTTCATATCAGTACTCGCATCAAAAACATTGCGTATCTTGAGATCCATATAAATTGATACTACTATCAAATTTTTGAAACTTAATTTGATATCGAAAAGACCAAGAAACCTGCGATCTTAAAATATCCCCTGCAATGGCTTCCTCATTACAGCAAATCAGCGTGGACCCATGGAAGATCTACGCGATGGTGGGGGCGATGTTGGTTGTGGATGTTGTGGTATTGAGTGTGTGGCAAGGAGTTGACCCCATGGTGCGCACACTCGAGACCTTCCCACTCGAGATCCCACTCGACACTGACGATGATGTTAAGATCATGCCACAGCTCGAGCACTGCGAGAGCACGCATAACAACATATGGCTTGGTACAAAATGTGATTTCATATGAAATACAGAACTATGATTTCATATGTACATGAAATAATTCATGATAAATTTTAGAGTGAATGTAATAATCATTATAATCTTTGGGAGTGCTGAAGTTAATTTATGTGAATTATTTATTAGATTAATCATATATTTAATGAATTATATATTATATCAATTACACATTATAAGAATAATCAAACTATGCACAGGAACGCTGTTCAGCATCAAGGGGCTCCTGCTAATCCTCGGTCTCTTCCTCTCCTACGAAACTCGGAGCGTCAAACTCGACAAAATCAACGACTCGAGGCTGGTCGCTACAAATGTTTCTCTTTTGATTGATTAATTAATGGCAGTGACCATGATGTAGTTAATTCTCTTTTAACCCATTGATGCCGACGATCGCTATGTACGTTTATTTCAAATGGACTAGCATTTCATCTGAGTCCATGTTAATGATTTAGTAACATTTTGTGTTATAAACACCTTCGGCGTCAATGGGTTAACCAAACATTGAAGTTCTTTTTAATCTTTGGGATTTTTTAAGGAAAGTTTCAAAGGGTCTTATAGAGTGCAAATTCGGTGCGTCTGCTTGCGTTGATGATTTTAATTTAAATTTCTCGCATTTTTTCTCGCATTTTAAAATTTCTATAAAAGTAGTGTTTTTAACTAGAATCGGAGCATAATAAAGTATTCTAGTTTTTTGTGAAATTGCGATTTTAACGTAAGAGTTCGAATGAATTTTTGAAGTGATCTTCTTTATGATTAAATCCATTGCCACTAAACAAGCATTCTGCAGACTGATGACAAGGAGAGTTATAGACGGCATTGAAGGTTAAATAAATTAGCACAGTTTCCTGGACGTTTTTTAAATATCATCTTGGCTTTGAGCTGCGATCGTCCGCTCATGAAATTAGTGAATTATAGTCCCCAATAACGATCAGTTAACTTGTAGCTGCTCTGGCCGGTGACAAGCTATAAATATTTAGATGTTTATTATATATCGACCCACCAAGTTAGCTCATTATGTTACGATTGTTTCGAATGATGTAAATGGCTTACTCTTGCCTGGGTGCTGGTGGGCATGAGTATCTACAACGTTGCGGTATTTTAAATACTTAAAATATTTGTATTCTAAACAATAATATAAGTATCTAATATCTCTCATGATATTCCGAATGTTTTGAATATCACAAACGTCTTCCCGCTGCCCCGTGCAGGTTGGCATGAGCATCTATGACGCGGCGGTATTTTAAATACTTAATATATTTATAATACAAACAATAATACACGTATCTAATATAGGTTGGCATGAGCATCTACAACGTGGCGGTGCTGTGCATCATCACGGCGCCGGTGACGCTGCTGGTGTCCTCGCAGCAGGACGCGTCCTTCGCCTTCGCTGCGCTCTCCATTATTTTCTGCTGCTTCCTCTCCATGGCACTCATATTCGTACCAAAGGTTGAACAAACTTTTGATAATATATCATATAAGTTCCTCTATATATATATATATCGTGCCCTGAAATATATCGTGCCCTGAGTTTATTTGTTCAAAATTATTAATTGAGTGAATCAAGAAAAGTAAAGAAATAGACATTTTTGTCAATTAAAAGAAACCGTCTGCGGACTATAATAAATTCCATTGAATATATCACATGAAAAATCACGCTGCACTAATTTGAGGCTAATTATTTAAGCACTTAGAATTTAATCAACTTGTTATGCATCCAAAGTCCTCAGTAATAACAGAAATATTCCATAAAATGTTATTCATTAGCAATCGTTAACTTTTTAAGTCATTATTAGTGTTACATGAAGCTGTAGTCTTGGTCAGGAGTTGAATCCCCTGACTGTTTATCTGTGATGAATGATTGCTCAAAGAATAAATTAATCGTTAAGTGATTAAATACTCCGTAAATTTAGACCTGTTTTACAAAAATACTACCTATGGCCACTTCCAATCTACGCTGCTTTCATAATATTCTTTAATGAAACAAGTATTTTTCAAATTTTTACCATTCACAAACTAATATCAACATATCAAGATTTTATCAGCCAGAAAAACCAAAGTGAAACTTTACTTCTCATCTGAAAACGTTTCATAAATATATTATATATACGTAAACACATCGAAAAAACATTTCTTGATCCTAGATTAGCAATGTTTTTAGCGCATTTTCTCATTTATGAACAAAAATACCCTATTGTAGTCGCCATGTCCGTCTGTCCGTCCGTGACTTCATGTTTTCGTCGACGAGATAATGCGCTCTCTGTTGTTGTTGTAATTGCTTATCCTGGTAGTGGCGACTAGGGAGGGGGGGGGGATAGGTCAGTTTTTCCGGGCACTCGGTGCCACAGGTAGTTCTACGACCATCACTGGCTCGCTGACCCGCCAGAACCATTTACGCTCTCTGTCACTCACTGCAGTGAGTACTGAGTTATGTTTTTTCGATATATCCGCGTGTGTAGAGCGCGTGTTGCCTCGTGCAGATCGTGGAGGTGGTGCAGAACCCACGCGAGCGCGTCGACTCCACGGAGCACGGACCGTCCCGAGAAGAGGAGGAGCGCTACCACGCCCTGGTCGCTGAGAACGAGGACATGCAGAAACTTATTTCTGAGGTGAAGTAATGGAGTGGCCTCCATTAATTTCTGAGGTGAAGTAATGGAGTGGCCTCCATTACTTTCTGAAGTGAAGTAATGGAGTGGCCTCCATTAATTTCTGAGGCGAAGTAATGGAGGCCGAGGTGGTGGAATAATTACATATAAATAAGTATGCCAATAAATATGTTATGGGCTGATCGCTGATATAACGTGGTGATGGATTCAATATTATTAATAATATGTTATGAGTTCATCGCTAAGGTAACGTCGCGATGAAACCATTACTTATAATATGTTATGAGCTCATTGCTGAGGTAGAGAGGCTTTGAAACAATTATATATTTATATGCTTCGAGCTCATTATTGAAGTAGACGGACTCTGAAATAATTATATATATATATATGTTGCGAGCTCATTGTTGAGCACAATAAACGAGTTATTTCTCTTGCTCCTGGCCAACAGAAGGAGGAGATGATCAAGCTGCTCAAGGAGAAGATCGCACAGCGCAACGCAGCTAAGGCGAGAGAGGCGGCCTCCCTCAACCATGTCGTCGCGGCGCCGGAGTCGCAGACCAGACTGCGGCAAGGTTGGTCTTGCTAATAAACATTAACAATTGAATAGATTAAACACAATTCAATCCTTTAGGCAGAATATTATTGTTCGTCAAAAAAGTAATCTGAAAGTTCAGTCTTTGAAATCACGGGCTCATCAAAATTATTCGAACTCGAAACCATCTGCAGGAGAATATCTTATAATATACAGAGAAGATCTAGTATATCCTAGTATATGTTGACTGGATTTCATATGAGGTTTACAAATTTTAGTACATTGATTCATGACAAAATGAGAATTTTTTCACTATTGTCATGTCACGCATACAATACATTTATGCAATGATCAAGTTAATTATAAATATTTAAAATCATTTGATGTTTATTTTCTTGTGAATATTACAGCAGCGTCAAAGGATACGGATTTATATTGTTGAATTTGATACCCGATTTCTTTGTGAAGTTGTCAACTAGCGTTCGGTAGACAGATTATCGCATAAAAGATCTTGTTTAGCGCAAATATTTTAATATTTTATGCGATCATCTTATAATTTTTATGCGATAAAATTTAAGAATTATCGCGAATATTTGTATACATTGCAATAAGTCAAAATCATTTTTAGAACTTTTATTCGCTCTATTGCTTACTGGAATATATCGCGTGACGTTGGTTTGTTCTACACGAAACAATTGTCATATTCAAAGCTTTTGTCGCATTGAGTAACATCTGAGAAATTAGGTGAAAATAATCTCTATTATCAATGCTGTTATCATGGGCGGTAAATTCGATTCACAGTCTTAATTAGGCTGAATGCTAGGTTGATTCAAAAGCTCAACATTTTTCAGAGCGTCTTTTAACCAATAATATAGACATCAGGTACGCGTTCATGCTGCTAGATTTATTTCCGTTCATTTATTCTTCAATCAAGCAGCAGGAACCACGTGAAATTGTGAGACCAATATATTGTTTGCGTTTTAGATGAACGAGCTGATGATTTTTGCCCAAAGTAGAGTTTGGATAATTTTCTTGGTCACTCATTTGAAAGTTGTGCATTTTTCTAATTTTTGGTTGCATCATACTGTATCTTATTGATACTCTTTTATGGATTCATGAGCCAGCTAGAAATTTGATTCGATGTTCGAATTCACAATAGTTTGTAGGCATTAGGGCGCTTAGAGAGCAGTAGTTTGAAAGTTTCTCACCAATGTTTGTTTTTTGTAATCGACTAGATAGCGAAAAGTGTGTGCTAGAATTCATAGTTGTTCAGCAAACATTCACGTAAACGTCCTCAATTTTTAGCAAAGTTCGTCTTTCGTAATTTTTGTTAAGTAATCGTGCACAAGGCATGTGCTAGGTCACAAAGTTACTTCTTTTCTGGAAGAATCAAGTAATGTTCGATTATTTAAGTAAATAATCCAAGTGACATAAATGTGTACGATTGAATATGTAAGTGAATTATTTTGTAACGATTGGCGTGGTGTAACTCCTATACCCGTCAAAAACGACATGGTGCAACTAATTAAAAAACTTATTGATTACAGTACTAATTAATATTTTCTGCTTATCAAGCATCGTGAATTTTGTCGTAAAGAAAGATAAAGAGAAGAACTCTGTTATGAACACAGGACAGAAATTGAGAATCCAATGACTTATATCCTACGCGCGTAAAAATTTATTTAATATGATTAAACAATTTAACTGATTCTTTTAATAAATAAAGTGACATTACCTCTGCTAGAAGTAAGGATAACCAACCCATTTTTATATTTGTCACATGTGTATTTATAAAAAATGGACATTGTTGGTAGAAAATTCCGGTACATTTTTTTATTTCTGCGATTATTTGCGGGTAGAAAATCTCTAGAAAATTCTCAGGTTAAATTAAATCATCGCACAATTAATGTGTTAATTACATATCATATTCGATATATATCGCATTAATATTTTTTACTTTAATTAAAAATATTTCGAGAATGAAAACGCTGAGATAATTGCTCAATTATGGGTCGCCGTTTAAGAATATGAAAATAAATATTTTTTTTTGTCTCTGACTGTATACTCTAATGGAAATTTCGTATATAAAATTCTTATTTATTAATTTTTTAGGATTGAAATACAATGCTATAAATTTATTATTCAAAGGAGCTCTTCCTTTCGGTACCAATCGTCCTGCGGGATTCAATTATCCAAACAGAAAATTAAAAATTCTAATGGTGTAAGCTGACACTAACTGGCAAATCTCAGCGTTTCTGTAACGGACAATTCTTACCCGAACCAATATCCAATATAATGTATGTACATATTTTTAAAATTCGTGTATCCCGTAACTCATCTAAATCATGTGAGTTTAGCTTAGCAAAATGTATTATGAATATAATTAATGAACCGCGGAGCGTCCTGCTCTAATTTTATTTTCTGAGGTTGAGTAGTTCTAGTAGTTACATAGTAGGAAAGATGAATAATTTATAGTTGTGGAATTTGAATGAATATTGAAACAGGGCACAATTCTTTATGTGACAATTTATGAAGAAATAATGCATTCTTATGAATTAAAATTTCCCTCATAGGTCCATTTTCAAAGTTAATCCTCACTTATACATTAATCCCTATACTTCTATGGACAGTTTTTTTTTATTATTTTCAACAATTTATCATATTTTTACTGAATTATATTTCCTATTTTTACTTCTATGACTTTTTAAGTTAATTTTTTCTTAATATAATGACTACGGGTGGCCGAAATAACGCGTAAAGTAAACTAAAATGTATATTTGAATCAAAGAAAATCAAATGGCATCGAAGACCGAGGTCTTATAAGCTAAATTCTGTGCAAATATTTTCTTACGATTACCATTGCTAAATAGTTTGAATAGAGTAATTACTTTACTCTTTATGACGAACAATTTGCTGTTGGGCGGATCCATCTGGTGGACAAATACTGATCAAGATACGATCGTGTTTAGGTGTCTTAAACTAACTCAAATCGTACGTCATTATCATTATTTATGGCACCTGTGCTCTTATTAATAATAAATGAGGAAGAAGTTATCTGCTTCTCAAAGACTTCCATCTATTTATAAAAAATTAGATTTTAGAAGAATCGCATATTCTAATATTCAGTGGGTGCAAAAAGTATAGGACTCAGAGTAAAAACTTTATTTAATTGAAGCTTATCCAACAAAATAATGTAAACAAACACTATTCTAATGTAAATTCACATGGGAAATACAAATATATCGAAACAACAATATCATTAAATTTTGACTTGATAATACAGCTTTGTTAAAAGTTAAGTTTCAAATAATAAATTTGAAACTTAACTTTTAAGAAAAAGTGAAGTTCCAAATAATAAAGTTATAAAGTTAAAAATATAACTTAAGTTAAGGGTAACTTTTATAAAAAGTTAAGTTTCAAATAATAAATTTTTTCCTATGAGTCGGAAACTTTTTGCACCCACTGAAGCTGCTCGATCGGTCGCTAATTAATTGCCAAGATGCCTGGCGGAGCATTTTAATTGACATTTTAAAGCGAATAGTCGGTTAGTAAGAATTGAAAGCTAGTTTTGAAAGGTATACTGTATATTGACCCTAGATATAAAAATCTCACGGTTAAGCGCAGTAGCCTACGTCGTTCGTATCCTTTACCAGAATTTGCTGAGAAGTAACGTTTATATTTCAATTTGAAATAAGTTTATAATATTCCGAGTCATTTTTTGTTCGTACTTTTGATTTAGTTTTCTGTGCCTTTTATTTCCTTCCATATTAGTTTAATTTTTTTGTTTGATTGTGACTTCTTTCTTTACATTTTGTGCGTTTTGGAAAGCAGTATTAAAGTATGCTTTAAGTGCTATTTTTCTATTGAGCTTATATATTTTCTGTCGATGCTCCTGCACGTCCAGTCGCATGCGATAATTAAATGACCTAATTTTCATCTTAGATATTTTGTATTTGTTTAAGTGGCTGATTGCATTTTTGTTAATCCAATTATACACCAACATAATTTAAAACTATTTTAACTGTCATCAGCTCTTTTCATGCCTGAAATTACTTGCATGAAGTCAATATACTTGGATGTGTGCTATTTCATTTATTTTTCAAATTCAGTGTCATTAAATGAATATTTTGATGTAAATTCGTAACCTGAGCATAGTCTTTTCCTGATTTGGCGGATAATACAAGAGGAGTTTGTTGTCTAGAGTTTGTTTTGTCCATGTATGGGTAGATTATACAGGATGAATTCCCCATCTAGAGTAAGTTCTGTCTCCTTGTATGGGTGGATAATACGGAATGAATTTACCGTCTGGCGCGAGTTTTGGATGCAGTGTGCAGTGAGCGCTCGCAGCTCCTGCATACGGCTGACCACGACCGATGGCGACTGAGAGCAAACGCTTTAGTAAAGCTACGGAGAGCGAAGAGAATATTATCGATGTGGTCTAAATAGCTCGGAAGGCCTGGGTTTCTTGAAGCTCGAGAAAGGATACGGTTTTTTGGTTTTATGGGACAACGCATCCAACGCTTGTAGGTGCGTTAGACAAATGAAAACTGCCGAAAACGTGACGTTGGATCGATTGGCGAATTAATGACCGTAATCTGATTGAATGTTTTCAACATATGTTAGTACAATTAACTTAATTTTAGCGTTTAATAGTGAATCGTGTGCCCAGTGTAAAGTAGAACTGCATAGTATCCAAAGTTTGCGTTGTAAGAAGTTCATGAGTAGTTCATAATCACAATACTGGAGTTTACTGCAATAAAGTTTATCTGAATGAACTGTAAAGTACGTATCATAAAAATTGAATGGAACTGCAATTTACAGGCATTTACATAATTATTGAACAATTCTATATACTGATTAATTTTCTGTGGAAAATTGTCTGGTTCCTTGATATAATTGATTGTTTTGTGAGCGAATATCTTTGTTAAAACGAACATTGAGTCATGTTTTGTTTTTATTTCATCAAATGTAAATAAAAAAAATCATTAACGTAAGAACAAATCATTATCGTTTCATGCTACGACGTAAAACTAAAGTTTTCTTCGTAAATGATAAATTTACGAAAAAGGCATCACTGATTGCTTACACGATTCAAAATTTGTTGCCGAATGTTTAGTATGAGGTTCATAAATCATGATTCATCGCATACCTAACAACGATTCACATGCTTGTAAAGTTGCCTGCTTTGCCGCTATTATCGTGAGTATAACAATCAATTTCGAAAGTTTTCAATGTCATTGCACTCAATGTTATTTGGTAACTGCTCTGATATAAATACCGGAATTGGCTGTAGAGATTACGAGCCACTACATAAAAAAAGTTAATAATTGAATGATTAATAATACTATTGTTCTTTGCTGCCGTTTGAAATTTTTGAAAACTAAATTCACAGATTTTTCTCACTCAAGGGAAACATTTGTCCAAGGGAAAATTTGTGTATTGTAACATTCGTCTGTCACTTCCCTTGAGAACATTCGTTTCAAGTGATGATACGGTAGATGAGCCCACAAAACCTGTTTCAGCAATCAGTGATTTACTACGCTTGATTCATTATATACGAAAAACTGTAGCGTTCCCTACATTGCTCCTTTCGTAAACTCGGTATTACTTCTTTATTAGAAAGTATAAATATAGATATAATGAGTTATTATAATCAGTATATACTTTTTCTAGGCAAACCGCATGTTGTTACTTGCATGTTAATTTCACGTCTGGCACATTTCCCGCCTTACAAAGTATTGTTGAACAACCAGTAATATGAACAGCACTCAATAGCGTAAATGAAGCCTGCCCCAATACGTATGTTTTTCTGTTTCCTGTGTAGACTGAATTGCCATTGTGCTAATTGATAAAGATTCCATCTTCAAGCATTTAATTTTTAAAAGTGTTAAACAATATTTTTAACAATCTCTGCTCTTTAATTTCGTTTACTTATTTTATTTTTTGATAAAACTTTTAATTTGCAGTTTTTTTCAGCGACCGATTCTGTAGTTAAATAAGTTGGAATGAATACGTTAGCGAATTCAGGTAGTGTAATAGGGAAACATCATCCTGATTTCTGAGTAAGTTTCCTCACAATGATATTATATCCTTCATTATTTTTTTTATTATCGTTTAATTTAACTGGCTTGTTGAAAACATTTCGCCGATGACTTTACTTCTGCGAGCCAAATCTCGACAAGTCCAGGCGGAAGCTCCGATATAATCGGAAACCACTCTATCAAAATAATTAAAAATAATTGAAATGCTTCCGAGTAAATTAAAAAAGCTAATAGTTCGCAATCAAAAGTCTCAATCAAAAGTTTTGTTTATTCTTTTGTACATGTGCTTCAACTCAGTTTTTTTATATAGCGATACCTCAAGCGATATACGTAAGCATTATTTTGTTCTTTACTTATTAGTTCTTCGTCCATAGGCAAGGTGAAGGCAGTTAGTAGTTTATAGGGAAGATATGAGAAATTTTATTCAGACAAGAATACGGTTAAAATATGATCCCAGCATTGACGGCAGGGAGAAAGATATGTGTTTAAGATTTCCTATTGTTCAGGTAAAAGGAAAATTTGCTTTAATTTAAAATAGGAGTTAGGCAAGACTACATTGCTACTGTCGGTAGCAGTGCCCTCTGTTCAGAGCAGCTTCACATATAAATGAAATAAACTCGCAAGGTAGTTAGTTTGTTAAGACGAGGTTGCCATGCGACGGTCGTCGTAGCTGCCTTAAAGTGGTCCCTCAGAGGCCAAGACATGTTTTGCATTTAGGACAGATAAAAGTTCTCTAAAATTTCTTATTTCTTTCTTATTTTTCAGTCTCTGATGCCGCAGACAAGAAGGACAAAGGTAAGTATTCGTAATATTATTTTAAATTTAGGCTAACTATAAAATTTATAACTTTCTGTAAACGAATTTCCTGTGGAATTTTATTGTTAAAAATGTTTTTTTTATTGTTAAAAATGCACTTTTGACATTCTCATTGTATCACTATTTTTACATGATATTATTTTCTCTATTCTGTGCTACATACTTTTTAACGCAGATACTCTGCAAAAAAATGAAAATAAATAAATAAATACAAATAACTTGGCACATTTGTTAGATTATTAATTAACTTTAAGAAATTTCTTCATAAAAACTTTACTTCATAATCAAATTATTGTTGATTTTCGAGCGATTAACTCAGCTATCTGGTGAAATGCATTCGGGCCTTCCCTCTGCTCCTCTATGAGACATCATGAAGAACTAACATTTCAATCAGACCGAGTCAATTAAACAGGAAAACTTTCACTGAAACTTTTACTGACAAACTCTAAGCAACTTAATCAAGTATCTTTGGATGGTGCGTAGAAATCAACCAAGTTCATCCACTTTAATCTTGAATAGTCAACCGAGTTCATCCACTTTAATCTTGAATCGTTCCTTCAGTATTTCCCCTCATTATAGTGTTGAGTGATGGTATGTATTAACTAGTAACTCATGCCGATACTTTTTAAAATCCATTACTGCTTAACAAAATACATTTATTTTCGAGGTGGGGGCATTTGTAATTCAATTTTGGGTGGGCATTCGTATGGGCATTCGCAATTCAATTGATTTTCCATGTAAGTTTTACTCAAGTGGTAATGGATTTAAACGATATTACTGAAGTTTATGCCATATTTGTTCATATTTCTTATAGGTAGTTTGTGATGAAATATCCGAGTTATATTGTTGGATACGCTACGTGGTCGGATTATTTTTCTACATTAGCGGCCGATTTCTCTTCTGTGATTGGTGGTTTGGCTTGGAAAGCCGTCAATGATTGGGTAAAGGAGTTACGAAATTAACACTATTTTTTATCGGACGGCCCCTGAAGTAATAACAGAACTTGTAAGTATTCCTGATAGTCATACCACTCATGGTTGAACTAGTATAAGGTTGACCCATGAGAAGCTCATTTGTGCTGATTTATTTTATTGTTTGCGTGTGACGTCACGGGCATTAAGCAATCACCGAAATGCGATCAAACCAGTCAATCAATCCGTCATGGGATTGTTGAAGTTTTTCGATCTCAGTGACGTAACAAAAAATCTGAACTGAAAGACGGAAATCCTCATGGGTCAACCTTATATACCGTGGGTCAACCATGCTACCACTGATCGCAACCATACCTCCACCAGGCTGTGCTCGTCCCACCCCTCCGCGCCCCAACTCAACCGACGCGCCTGCCTCGACTGACGCCGCGATGGTGCCTCGTATCAACTTTAATATCTCTGAGTCCTATCTTTAAGTTGCCATCTTAAATAACTTTCATGCATGCTGCTGGAAAAGTTCATTATTTTATACAATTCATGTTTTTAATCATGCTTTTAATGATGGTGTCAACTGCCAATAGTTAATTCGATTCTTTCTAAGGATTTCTTTTACCCTCCTTCATGGTAGCGTTCAATTTTCATCTGTGAAAATTTTTGTTATGAATATTGAGAGAATGTTTGTGAAGATTACTACTGGCTGGCCATCATCATGAATTTCGTTGATATTACTCAACCATACCTAGATTAGACTGCATTTAATGATGGGCTTGTACAACGTCGTCGTGTGATCACGGGAGAAGGTTTAGAAGGTAATTATTTGACAATCGTAAGTCGTAGCGAAGTTAAAATCGAACGTTTGACGTGTGCTTTAGTGTTCATAAGCCATTATGGAAGATGATTTGGTGGATGAGTTATAGGATAATAATTGTCATTTATGAGCATCAGACATTGAGTAGATTTCCAGCACAAGTCATTTACTGGCGATTAGAATGAATTGCCAAACAGGCTAGTGGAAGCAGTGCACAGTCTAGCGACAGTAAGGACAGTCTAGTGGAAGCAGTGCACAGTCTAGCGACCGCAACGAACATTCTAGTGGAAGCAGCGCACAGTCTAGCGACAGTACGGATAGTCTAGTGGAAGCAGTGCACAGTCTAGCGACCGCAACGGACAATCTAGTGGAAGCAGTGCACAGTCTAGCGACAGCAACAGACAGTCTAGTGGAAGCAGTGCACAGCCTAGCGACAGCAACAGACAGTCTAGTGGAAGCAGTGCACAGCCTAGCGACAGTAACAGACAGTCTAGTGAAAGCAGTGCACAGCCTAGCGACCGCAACGGGCAGTCTAGTGGAAGCAGGTCACAGTCTAGCGACCGCAACAGACAGTCTAGTGATAGTAGTGCACAGTCTACTGACAGCAACAGACAGTCTAGTGGAAGCAGTGCACAGTCTAGCGACAGCAACGGACAGTCTAGTGGAAGCAGTGCACAGTCTAGCGACAGCAACGGACAGTCTAGTGGAAGCAGTGCACAGTCTAGCGACAGCAACGGACAGTTTAGTGGAATCAGTGCACTGTCTTGTGACAGCAACAGGCAGTCTAATGACAGCAACGGACAGTTTAGTGACAGCAACGGACAGTCTAGTGACAGCAATGGACAGTCTAATGACAGCAATAGAGCGACATCTCCTGTTCCGTCTATAGCAAAACTTTTTTTGTGAATAACGTTTGAACATTTATGTATCCGTGATTTGATTTAATATGTTATTTCTGTCAACTTATTGCTTGTCTAATTTATTTTAGAGTATATATGTAGAAATTTAGGTTACGTACAGTCAGTACGCGAATTTTATTGTTTTAATAGTTGAATATTTAGGCTTCATGTGGCTTGACAGTTTGCACAAATTTACTGAAGAAAATAAAAATAAGTAGTAACTTTGTTTTTCTCTAATGAGAATCCGTGAGCTGCGGAAGTCAATTCTTGACCATACCTGGGTATTTTTATCAAAAAAGTGATAAATACCTGAAAATAACTGAAAGTATTAAATTGCTGGCGGTTTAGAATTCACTAGGTAAACGACTGCTCAAGGGTGAGAGTACGTTATAATTCTGAAAATAATTTATAATAAAAAGAAGTCACGGCGGAAATTATGAATGCGAAGATGTTGGTGCTGCTATAATTACAAGTAAGAGCGAATTAATAAAAAAATGTTTTGTTCTGTAATAGTTTAAATATAGAAATTTTCAGGTGTTATGCTTGTAGTTTACATGCATGATCCTGTTTCCTCACGTTGAGCGTCAAGTACTCATTAGGAAGTAGTTGATTTCGCATTATCTTATCTTGTTGTGCTCTAACTACACTTGTATTTCTATTACCCGACTTACTCTTTAACTTCCAGAACGACCTCAGACGTCGTAGAACTTTTATTACGACATTTTACAATTGCAAAAATTGTATGAAGTGCTTCAACCTCCTACATTTCGTTGCGACGATATTTATTTGGTAGATATTTTAATGGATTAAAAATTTTTATTTTAAAATGCACTAGGTTATTATCTAGAAGTGTAAACACGAGGCAAAGTAATACCCCTAGCTTCCTCATATACGTGGAAGGACTCCAACTAAGGGCAAAAAATTAATCTCGTGTTCTAAAAGAACAGTTTTTTGCTGCATTTTATTAAACTACTACTTCGGAGAAATAAATGCCTTTTGACTATTTATTTTGAATGAATATTGTTCTAATGTTTTTTTGGTGATTTGTAAGAAATTAATTATGCGAAGTCTAAGTTGAATGACGGATGTGGTGCTGTTTAACTGAATAATAGAGCCCTTCAAGCATGTGAAATATTTTAACAATGAAAGGGTTTTTAGCATAAAATATTTTCATCCAATCTATATGACATAAGAAATGAATTATTTTCGTGCAAGATGCTTTTCCAAATTTGTTCTATTTAAATTGGATCATGTAATAGGAATTAGATTGCTTTAATTCTACAGGTTTCACATCACAATTTTTTATGTCTTGAAGCCCAACTATGAGGAACCGTAATAAATGTTATACGTCGAATATATGTTTTCTTCTCACCCCATGTACGCTGGTAAAAATAAAACCCAGCATCAAAATTTACCGAACACGTGTGCGAATCCGCGTTTTTTTTAAGTTTTCATTTATAAAAACTGTGGAGGAGCCGAGAAGTGAAAGGCCGAGTTAGTTTGAAGTGTAAATTTTTCTTATGATCATCTGACGCCCTTACGCAGGTCGTTTCTGAACGGCTGGGATATATAAAGTCAAGAGGTTATAAAAGCTCGGTTAGTAGGAAAAAAATTCTTGAATAAAAATCGTTTTAGGAGCTAAATGGAATCATGAGATTGATTAGGAAATAGTACGTCACCAAGCTGAATATTTACGAATTTTTTGTTAAGTATTTCGAATATCTCTCTCAATATAATACAGGGTGACACAAAAAAAACAGAGCTCACTAAAAGTCTTATAACTCCTGAAATTTTATTCAGTTTGAAACAAAAATTCTATGGAATTATGTACAACCTATGTAGCCAACATCTGCAAAATCTTGTCTTTTGCTCTGTAGTCCAAGGCATCTCGAAGCTCACACGTGGTAGACTCTTAGATCAATCCGTCTTCTTAATGAATCTGAAACAAATAACAGGATTACTTGAGTATTGTGGAAATTATTCAACTTTTTATGAGCTCTGTTTTTTTTGTGTCACCCTGTATTTCTTATGTAAGAACAACGAGAAAAATAATACTATCGCCTCAATGTAGGTTAAAGTTAGGTTCAATGGCCGATAAAATTCATGAACTTTTACTTTTATATCAGAGAAATAATCAAATCTGATGATTTATAATCTATAGAAAGTCACCAATTAATTCTGAAACAGAATACGACGCAAACGCTGTAATTGTCACTGATATGGATAAAGAAAGACTTATTTTTCTTTACTCACATGATGATAAACAATTTTCAAATTGTGGGAAGTCTGTGCTGGTGGATAATGCATGAGAAAATTAACCGGGATATCTGTCCTCAAATCAGTAAGGATGACGTCACTCGTTTTGTAGTCACTCGTTATCAGAAAAAACACAAACTGTTTTCAACACGAGCATGTGACTGAACGACTTTGTTAACATTACTGAATTATCGTTTTCATTATTAAGTAACAGTTTTTTATAGAATTATTCATCGGTCGTAATTTATGCAGCGTACAATTATTTTTATTTATTTAGCGCCTATGAAGATGGAATGTTATTAGCTTTAAAGTTTTCGTCCTTTTGCGATTTAATCTATAAAAATCTCAACTAGTGATAATTTCAACTAATCTATAATTTAATGATATTTTGTATTCAAATAATTGTGCTAAATAATTAAAAGTACTAGTTGGTAGGCACAGTCGTTGAACACATTTTAAAAATGACTTTTGAACGACTTGTATGAGGTTGCGCCGTTTTACGAATGTCAAATAAGACGATCGCAAAAATTTTTGATGTATTATATGAAAATTACGTTAATAGAATCAATTTCAATAAATTAATCGACAGTGACCTGACTAAAGCGGATGCACCAGACCTGGAGAGTTAATCCGAAAATTGAAAATGGTTTGTTTTACTGAATAATGTTTGATGTTGTTAGAGTTATTTAGTTATATAAAAAGGTTAAGTTATTTAGCGAGCATACAAAGAATATTTTTCGTACACGAGTATCGAAATTTTGAGCTCATAAAAATTCTCATGGGTGTACTCGAAAAAAGTCTCGTTAAAAGTTTTACGGGGAAATTCAATAATGACCGAAGACGAATGGTCTGGTACCTATATTAAGAATGCCGAAGATAAATACATTTATATTTTTCAAACGGAAGATTATCGTCTTTGGCTGAATATTCGAGAATTACTTCACTTAGTATGCACTATTGGTGGGGACTGGAATGGAAGATATTGCAATAAGCTTGACGTTGAATTGCAAATTTGTCAAGATTCGAGACAGCCTAATATTTGAGGACAAATTTGAGGCTCTGGCTTCATTATTGAAGACAATGAGCGTCTGCTGATGCGTGGCTTGCAGGAAGAAGTTTCCTGAGGAGCAATTTTCCAGGAAATCAAAATCAAGCGACGCTTTAATTGAGTTACCGATCAAAAATTCGCCGGCCGTTATGAGAATAAATTGAAGCGATCTGTTCAATGGGAATGTTTTCTTTAGGGTCAATCATTTTTTTGTCGAGCACTTGAGATGTACAGAATATTCAGTTATTCTTCAGGTTTGGGTATTTTAGCGTAAATGTGCGGTATCTTAGGTCATTCATCGAGTCCGTGCTTGCACTCAGAGATGTCGGAGAAGACAAATAATTATGAAAATTTAGATTTGTATTTTTAACCTTGTATCTTGGTAATGAAAATGCGAGGAAATAAAAAGTTTAATAATGTTGAAGCCGTATAGATAAGACAAAAACCTACAAATAAATTTGATAATTCAGCTTCCACTAGCTACCATAAGCTATAACAGCTAATTTTGGAATTAGGGCTCGGATGTGAATCTATCTTTGTCGTTTCAAGTTTGTGAGAGCCTGAGTCTTCGTCGAGGATCAAACTTCGTTATCGAACTTCATTAGTTTGGTATTCTTTTGGCTTAACTTCCGATGCAGATTAGAGGCATCTGCCCATAATCATCCAGATAATCCACCTTCGAGCTTTTTGAAGGCCAAATGAATCATTTCTAATTGGCAACAATTTTCCCTCCAATTCTGAATTAATAAAAATTGATTATTGAATTGTTGAACTAAGTTTGTCAAATTGACGTAAAATTAACCTCGCTGCTCCGGTCATATGAGATTCTTAATTTCATTATGCGGTGTTTAAAAAATGAATATTATTTCATTTTCACGTATGCATCAACGAAAATTTCTTATTATTAAATTTTGATTTTAAATTTAATACGAAACTGACCATATCGGCTAACAGATGAAAACAAATGGTCATTCTTTGAAAAGATTAATTTACCGAAGTGAACACAAGTTTAAATGCGGCTATAATTCTATTATATTTAACATAATTAAGGCGAAAATTTATATTAAATAATTAAAATGCCGAGAGCTTCACAAACATATATCAACATTCAGATTGATGCTGCAAGCGTTCGAGGAGAATTATGCCCAAATGCGCGCCTATCAATTTGGCTGATTTAACGCCTTTAATACAAATTAAAATGTATACAATCGCATTTTCTATTTTCATCGGTCTTTATGACCATTGTTTTCTGCATTGTCTATCTATCAAGTTCGATTGTTTTGACGCCTGCGATAATTATGGTCGATCTAAAACAGATTTTAATTTGATACTAAAATTGGGATTTTTCAGAGATATTTCTGACAAATGACATTTGGAAACAAAAAATCTCTTACTTAATCAATGGTAAACATTGTTGATTATGCGCTATCTCTAGGTGGTCATATCAGTGATAAAGTTACTAGGTTTGACGTACAAAGAGAAAGAAGTTGACTGAGCATTGATGGCCACGACACGATTTAGGACGGGGATGGTCATCTCTTGATGTTCAGTGATGTAAAAAATAATAAGGCTTTATACAGATACTTGACTGAAAATTTATTTAATGGACTGGAAATAAGATTATTGAAACTGGACGACGAAAGAAAGTTATGCGGCAAATTGCACGAGGTTTAATACATTTTACGTAACTGGGACCTGTTGTCAGGCTTAACTGTTAAGCTGTGCGCTGTTCCTGTTCCTTACGTAAGGTAGAATTATTGGTATAAATCGTCTTAGTTTAATATATTACACAGTGCTTTGAAATGTCACATAAATTTACAGTATGCGTCAAGATTGTGTGATTTACAATGTAGTAGAAGAATTTTAAATTTTGTAATTACTCATTTAAGCCTTTTTTACACCACGGGGACACGTTTGTAATTCTCGAGTTTTGTGCTATACTTTTATTTTATTTTATTTCAAGTTCTCCGTTTGAACCGACCGATAACATTTGCGAGATTACACACTCACCATGTCAGGGGGCCTAGAGAAATATGATCAGATGTACATTAGGGAACAAACTTCAAGAAACAACGACAAACTTCCTGTCTATTTATTTCTTAAATCCATCTTGACCAATTTTCGAAAACATTTTACGTAAAAGAGATGAAAATTACGGCTTAGCATTGCTCGGGAAAGAATGATGTCCCAATGCATAAATAACATTTCGGAATCAGAATTTTCTAAATTTATAAAAAGAATTTCAAGACAAAAAAGACTTTACATATTACGTACGTAACGTCATCGCAAGCAACATTACATTCAAACATCAGCGGTCAAACGACAATAAAGACACGTTTATTGTCGTTCAAACGATCAAAAATGTCATGAGCTTAACATTCTGATGTGCTATATAGGAGCCTTACCGTTTTGGAAAAATTTAGTTTAGTTTTGGAAAATTTTTTGAAGCATCAATACCAGTCCGAAAAAATCTAAGATTTCGATGATCGTCCAAGAAGCGAGCGAAAAGCATTAGAAGCCATTCAACTTAACACAATGAGAGGTTTTAAATTACGAGTACATTTAAAATTTGATGCCAATATCATACTCAAGTGCAAATTAACTTTTATCATGCATGTTTTGATTTATTAATTTACTTTTAAAGGGAACGACTTGCCATTTTGGCGGTAAAGAATTTATTCGTAGTAAGAACCAAACACTAGCGCGAAATAGAATTTAGTAATAACCGAGCTTTGCATCATCAAATTTCTCACCGCGAAATACGGAAGCGGAATTTTGTCGGTTAACTTTGAAGTCGAAGGAGCTATTTAGAAGAATTTAATGAGCAGGAAATATTTTCAGATATTCATTCACATATTTTCTGAACATTTCTGCGTGGGAGATCACATGCAACACTGAGCCATCATGTTGGAGTGGCTGACAATGTCGCTGCTCATTGGTGGGTATCGGTGGCATAACGTTGCAAGATAAAAAACGGAATCTGACCAAAAATATTTTAAACTGTGTGCAAATTTGGGTTTTTGAATGCCAAAAGCTTTTCATTTGCTTCAAATATTCTTGTAGTACGAAATTTGTTGAGTATTTTCTGGTTGGAAGTTGGACAATGATTATTCGAGGTCTCATCTCTTCTTACATGTCATGTATTTGGCAGTTTCTTGCAAGCTGTGAATTTTTTTATATATAAGATATTTGTGCCAATGGCTTGAACTTGTAAATAAAAAATAAAAATTGTCCTATTTTAATGTAATTAATTTCAAATGACATATTCTGAAGCAAACAAGAATAATAGTGGATTTATGTGCCTTTTATATGCGTAAGAATCGATGGAAAAGTATGCAGTAAATACTGCAAATCAATGGACATGAATAAATGGACATAAATAAAATAAAATAAAAACAGAATGAAAATAAACAGGGTTAGTGAAGTAATCCCAATTGTATGGTCCCCACAGGAGCAGCAACGCTGAGCGAGGCGCAGTACGCACCAACGTGGGAGTCGCTGGACGCGCGGCCGCTGCCCGCCTGGTATGACGAGGCCAAGATTGGCATCTTCATCCACTGGGGCGTCTTCTCGGTGCCTTCCTTCGGCTCCGAGTGGTTCTGGCAGGACTGGCAAGGTGATGAAGTCACCTAACAATCAATTTCTCCAGCATTGGAAACTCAAGAAACTATGGTGTAGATTCTTATGATTCTTGTATAGACTTTTAAAATGTGGCGGCAATTTTGTACCATCAGTAAAAAACTCAAAATTTTGGATTGTTCCTCATTTCATTTTAATAGAAACCCAATTCTGTATAATCTACAGTTCTGACAACCTGTATTACGTAAAATTACTTACTCATGCTCTGATTTCGCTTCCAGGTTCGAAAAACCCAATGTATGTCGAATTCATGTTGAAAAACTACCGGCCTGGGTTCACATACCAAGATTTTGCTGCGATGTTCACGGCAGAATTTTATAACCCAGTCGACTGGGCGGACATTTTCAACGCGTCTGGGGCCAAGTACGTCGTGTTGACCAGCAAGCACCACGAGGGCTACACCAACTGGCCCTCCAAAGTCTCCTGGAACTGGAACTCCATGGACGTGGGCCCCAAGCGCGACTTGGTCGGTGAGCAAATAAACATTCAGGTCATGTATACTGGTTTAATCTTCTTCACTTGTATGTTAAGGTTATTACTTAGAACAAAGCTTTTGTTAATTTATGGCATATTGGTCACTCCAACGGAGTTCAGGTGTGGCTCGAATGCATTTTTCCCCGTTTCATACATATACTGTATATCAATGCTTATCACATCTAAATCCTTGAACTGATAACTGAATAAGTGAAATTTTAATGATGAACATTCATATTTTCTTGAGTTAATTTAGAATATCAGAGAACATAAAGTTCAATTCAACACGGTCAGTTCTTTCAATACATTTATATATGAACTTGCCTCTTTTTTTTTTTTTAAACACACCTTGAATGATGGAACCGACAATACCGACAACCTGTCAGTCTTAATGGGCGGGTCCGTATCAGACTGGGCTTCAGCTTGTGCGCAGCGGCGTGCCACAACTAAGGAGGCATTCTCGGGCCTGTTTTATTCGTTGCGTTATAAACGATCTGCTAGAAGCTGTGTCTAGCGTGTGCTCGACATATGCTGACGACACAAAAATTTATAATACAGTGAAGAATACGTCGCAAAAAGTACAGTTGCAAGGTGATCTTGATAGGTTAGTTGACTAGGCTGATAAGTGGCAGCTGCGTTTTTTAATTAACGCGGAAAAATGTAAAGTAATCCACCTTGGCATGAATAGTGAACAGCAAGATTACAGTATGAGAAGACACGATTAGACAGAAAACGACAGAGTGATGATGTCGAAGTCGACAACGGAAAAAGATTTAGGAGTTAATTTCGACGATGAGTTAAAATTTTCTAAGCATATTGAAGGTCAAGTAAATAAAGCCAATAAACCACATGGACTGATCAGATGCTCCTACGACTACATCGATGCTGAAGCGATGAACGCGATGAGTCGCTGTCGTGCGTAAGAACCTAGAGTTTGGAAACGCCGTGTGGTCACCAAAACTAGAAAAGGATAAAAATTTAGTCGAGAGTGTTCATAGACGTGCAACAAGGATAATTCAGGGATTAAAAGGCAAGCCATATAAAGAAAGATTAAAGATTAATTATGAAGCATCCAAGCCTCTGTTATCGACGTCTGCGTGGTGACCTCATTGAAGTATACAAGTTTACCCACGGTTTATACAAGGTCCCAGAAAGATTACTAGAATTTGAAACAAGAACCAACACCAGGGGCCACGGCTATAAACGAAAAACTGAGTTGTAACACATCCATGCGACAACATTTTTCCTCGCTTCGAATCACCGACATGTGGAACAGCCTTCCTCATAGCATCGTTGACGCTCCGAATATGAACGCCTTCAAGAACAGACTAGACGAAGCTATGCAGGAATATATCTTGAGTCTTGAAATGCCTAGCACCTTACAGACCAGGCAATAAGTCCAGCAGCTATCTCAATCAATCGTCAGTTATGGAAAGATCGGGTTCCAAAGGCCGGATCCCTTGTGAATCAAGTCACGAATAGTACAAAAATCGGCAACAGGCCATGGGTCTATTTCTTCAGTGCCGACACTTCTATTCTATCATATTGTTAGCTGCGGGCAAAAATCATTGAAGTCTGAGATAAATTGCGAATTATATTTATTTTTTTGAAAGTAAACTACACTGAATTTTCTTAAAGGTGAGCTGGCTGACGCAATTCGTGCGAATCACTCGCACATCCACTTCGGCTTGTACCACTCCTTATTTGAGTGGTTCAACCCACTCTACCTGCAAGACAAGAACAACAGCTTCCAGACCAACAAGTTCGTCGAGACCAAGACCATGCCAGAGCTTATTGAACTGGTCAGTACATTTTGGGGTGGCTAATTTCTCGTGTTAACATTTAGATTCTATTAACGTAATAACAATATCATCTGGAAGATCTGGTCTGGGACCATGCAGCAGAATGTTTGGCGACCAACTTTGCCATGCGAGATGATACCTAATGTTGGTGGCTTAAATTCAGTATAACTTTCAAATTCCTATTCCTCAAAGCATCAGTAGCTATAGTTGAGCCCAAGTACAGCCTGACCACATCATGTAGATTTATCGTTGTCGCATTGACGATGAAATACCTCATGAAGTCCTCATGAAAAATATTGATTAAATTACAAAAATATACATCGACACACTTTAACGTCTGAAGGGATGACTACATGTCACGACCCTTATGCTTTCGCATCAGGGCATTTTCGTAGACCATTCTGGCTTACCTAACTAATTCCCTAAAACTCTAGATACTTAGATAATGTTAACCCGCTGGCTGATCCATGATTAAAAGAATACCCCAATTGTGCAAAGACAGTGTTGCCGTGTCTTTTCTAGATTAACTGATTCCAGTATTCATTCATTGACTCATTTGAAAAGGTTCAATGCAGCTTTTGTTCAAAATTATGTCCTTCTTCATGTAAGAGACAAAATTATATTCTTGCTCGGACAGGTGAACTCATATCAACCAGAGTTAATCTGGTCGGACGGAGAATGGGAGGCAGAAGATTGGTACTGGAACTCTACGTTGTTCCTGCAGTGGCTCTTCAACGACTCGCCTGTGAAGGATACCGTTGTGGTCAACGATAGGTGGGGCAGCGAGACACTCTGCAAACACGGATCATATTATACATGCGTCGACAGATACAATCCGGGTTAGTATGATACTCAAGTAACACAAATTATTCAGCTCTCAGTTTGAGGAATAATAAAAAAATGTTTAGAGTCAGGTGCATTTGAGAATTGGGCCATGTTACCATGACGGGCATGGCGCAAAATTTGGTCCGTTTTCACCTCAACCATCAAATGCAGTACGTTTCAAGTCAATTTTGAATACACATGTCTGTATTTGGGATTTGATCGACTCGTCACTTATAACAATTTTTAACTACACACCGAACTCAAATATTGGCATTAATGCGTGACAGGAACGTTGCAGCCACACAAATGGGAGAACGCCATGACTCTGGACTATAAATCCTGGGGCTACCGCCGCAACGCCGCCGCTGTCGACTACATGACCATCGAGCAGCTGCTCGAGACGCTGGCCTCCACCATCAGCTGTGGAGGTGATGTTTCTAGGTTCACGTAAAATTTAAAATAAGATGGCTATAACTAATTGCTGGTTAACGTTGGTCCCACCCACGACGGTATGATCCCCGCCATCATGGTGGCCAATATTATCTTAACCGTACGTTTATGCAGGCAACTTGCTGGTTAACATTGGTCCCACCCACGACGGGATGATCCCCCGCCATCATGGAGGCCAATATTATCTTAACCGTACGCTTATGCAGGCAACTTGCTGGTTAACATTGGTCCCACCCATGACGGGATGATCCCCACCATCATGGAGGCAAATATGCCATTTCGAGAATAAATTGAAGCGATCTGCTCATGGGAAATTTTCTTGTGTGATTGCTGATTCCTTCACCTCGTGTTATGGGTTGCTAATATAAGTTTTTAGATTTTTAAGGTTTCGATGAAATACGTTTCGCTCAAACTATGGTAGAAATAAAAATAGAATTTAGCGATAAAATTATCGATTTCAACAAACCTGATTAATTAATTTCAATTATGCAATCTTGCTTTGAGTTTCCAATTTTGACTGTTAAAAATTGAAAGATTTTACTGGCCATTTCTACCGGCCATCCATTAAAAATTACCGGGTAATTTATTATGAATTTATCCGTAGTTATTATGAAAATTTCACACTTGTTCAATTCATCATGTATCAGCAACGCACCGTGTTAAATTCGAGCTAGATTATTAATTAGATTAGTTACGGCGTAGGTTATCGGGTTGATCCCTGACCAGAAATAAACAAAGCTTTGAGAAGGAAATGCAATACGGAATGTTTTTGTTGTAATATGAATTAATCACCTAGAAGTTTTCATTCAAATATTTTTCCCTAAACTGATCACTATGAGTTTCTCCAAAGAAAAAGTATAGAAGGTTGCGTTAATAAAACCGTTATTGCCATCGGTCGACGTTTGTTGGAAATTCTATAGAAATTTCGCTCATTCGTCATTGTTCGATAAAATTGAAACAGCTTCTACAGGATGTCTTTGATTATGTTGTGAAATTTATGGTTACTAATGGAGAAAAAAAAATTGTAGTGATCACTAAACGGCTGCCATGCTAAACGGCAGCCATGCTAAACGGCTGCCATAGACAGGATTATTTGGATAACACATTCGGTTAGAATATCGGGATCAATGATTTTATTTCTTTTTTTTTCTACATTGATCATACGAAAACAAAAAATCTGTGCTTCATCTATGTTGTGCTCCTCGAAACAATGGTTATCTCGAGTGGTATTATCAGTCACTGATGCGCGTAACCATGCAGGCTACTTACTAACGTTGGTCGACAAGCAGTCCTGATGTCGGACAGAGCAGAGATGGAAGGGTCATAGGGTGGTTAAAGAATATCTACGATACATTTTCAATTTAATAATTAGATTTCTTCTAAAACAGGATCTTCATTCAAGGCAAATTTTAGCCGAAGCTGATTACGTCGAGACTGATTTTCAGTGGGTCAACCTGAAATTGTGAAGTTCGTTAGAGTGCGGTTGTCGTGGACATATTATCAACGTCATATTTTTTCTCCATTTTCTTGGAGGAAACACTACAGAAGATAGTTAACCATTTGGTGCAGTTTAGACGACGCTATTATACAAGGACCATTTTCCTTGTGATGTTTAATCTCTATTCGAAATACATTTCGAGTACATACATGTGCACACATATTAAATGTTGTCGCAGGCTTTCCATCAATTCGAGGCTCATCAAAAATATGAACATCAAATAATAAGAGACGATGGTACAATCTTCAAATTTACCATCAGTCACCAGATTATTAAGATTTCATGCTTCCATAAGGACTGAGTGATGCGGATTTTACTGTCCTTGACTGTACGTAGTATCCACTTAACAAATGATGTGATAATAATTTCTTAACAGATAAAATTCATAGCTGTCAGAATAATCGACCTTAATTAATGCTGAAGTGGATAGCAGTGATGCTCCTAATTGGTGAGGACATTCAACATACGCAAATAGTTTGAGAACTGATAGTCCGGAAATCATCCTCTACAAATAACTAATTTCTGGGAAACGAGGAAGTAGTTGTTGGACATTTTAATGACAGTAACGTGTTATCAAGAGTCCAAGTGTGAATCTAAAATATTTGTGAATCTAATACAAAATGACACTTTAACTCAAGCAATCCTTATTGCACCTCAGGAGCAGCAGCGCTGAGCGAGGCGCAGTACGCACCAACGTGGGAGTCGCTGGACGCGCGGCCGCTGCCCGCCTGGTATGACGAGGCCAAGATTGGCATCTTCATCCACTGGGGCGTCTTCTCGGTGCCTTCCTTCGGCTCCGAGTGGTTCTGGCAGGACTGGCAAGGTGATGAAGTCACCTAACAATCAATTTCTCCAGCATTGGNTCTGTCTCTTATACACATCTAGATGTGTATAAGAGACAGGGTTTTTACAGCGGTGCGACAGCTTTCTTTAGCTTGATTTCGAGCTCTTGCGTATAGGTTATAGTCAGCATCGCTACGAGTCTGTAAATAACGCTGGTAGGCTTCCATCTTTGTTTTCAGCTTAGCTAAAACTGTACTGTTCATCCACCGAGTTTTTTTGCCCCACCAAGCTTAATTATAGGTACACACGCATCAACTGCAGACATAACCGTGTTCTTGAGAAGTCACTATGACTCAGCCACATTCATGTCCTTAATACAGTTCGAAATATTCACTGCATTCACAGCTTCACGGAGTTTATTATAGTCGCCTTTCGCAAAATTCAAACCCTCACGCTTTCGAGGCGTCTTTTCTGTACAACACTTTAGACTGAAAAAAAACAAAGATTGGTGATGGCTTTTGCCCAATGGAGCCTCGTGACAAAGCTCATCTAACCTTGATTCATCACTAGTAAACACCAGGTCTAGAATATTGAGAGTTTGTTTACTTCTATAATAAGTAATTTATTTATAAAGCATTACATATCTTGTACGGCGTGTTTGTGTAGATATTGTCTTGATATTATTTGGTAATACCGTCCTCATTTTCCAGGATCTAAAGATCCTGCCTACGTGGAATTCATGGAGAAAAACTACCGGCCTGGGTTCACGTACCAAGATTTTGCTGCGATGTTCACGGCAGAATTTTATAACCCAGTCGACTGGGCGGACATTTTCAACGCGTCTGGGGCCAAGTACGTCGTGTTGATCAGTAAGCACCACGAGGGCTACACCAACTGGCCCTCCAAAGTCTCCTGGAACTGGAACTCCATGGACGTGGGCCCCAAGCGTGACTTGGTCGGTGAGCAAATAAATATTTAGGTCATGTATACTGGTTGAAATAAAAGACAATTGGCATTGATTTCATTCATGTTTTAAGGTTGTTGCTGAGAACAAAGCTGTTCTATTTCTTGAGATATTTTAAATTATCAGAAAAAGTATATGTTGTGACCGCAACATTTGTCTTAGGATAGTAGCTTAATTCTGTGGTCTTGCGAAACCTTTTCGTTCGTTCGTCATCTGTCAGCTGCGGAGCACAGACCGAACTTAGATCAGGAACGAATTTTGGTGAGCCTAGTTCTCATGTTTGAACATTTATTTGTTTATTTTTTAGAAAGCCTTAGTAATTACTTGAATATTTTCGAATATTGTTTATAAATTCAATAACCTTTTTTATTTGAATAAATTTTGTATTTGTACCGGTTTTTTTCCAGAAACTGTGTCTTCTGGGAATGTAAAGCACAAATGAACCCATGGATGCACGCGTATTCAATTAATCCTGCCATAGACAACAGCTGTGCTGAAAAGCAATAAATAGTCCGCAACAATATAGTTCAATTTAATTCGGTTAATTTGAACTTTCAATGTGTTTAAATATGAACACTCAATTTTTTTGTTATATACACCTCGAATGATGGAACCATCATATTGTCAGCTCAACGACAAAAATTATCGGCGCTTAAGATAAATTGCGAATTATTTTTATTTTTTTTGAAAGTAAGCTACACTGAAATTTTTTTAAAGGGGAGCTGGCTGAAGCGATTCGTGCAAATCACTCGCTCATCCACTTCGGCTTGTACCACTCCTTGTACGAGTGGTACAATCCACTCTACCTGAAAGACAGGAACAACAGCTTCCAGACCAACTATTTTATCGAGACCAAGACTATGCCAGAGCTTATTGAACTGGTCAGTATAATTCCTTATGCAGGTATCACCTATTGTTCAGGTCTTTCTTACTGTGAAATAATTCCTAAGGTGTTTTTTAGAATTAGATTTTTTAGAATTATTTTTCTAATTAGGTTCCTTGTTTTCAGTCCAATGTTCCCGTTCACACCGATTCTGTACTTGCGATGTGTCCTAAGAGTGGGACAACTTTCAAAGGTTGGAGTCAAAAATCAACTTGCTCACAACCTTATTCATATCTAGACCAGATCAGAATCGATTTAGTTAGCGATGCTATTCCTTATTAATCAAAAAAAGATTACCGCTGTCCCTGAGTCATATGGTATTGAAAAGAAGTCTTGTAGCAATTAATTTTTTTAAACAGATCATAGGTGTTCTCGAGGTGTTCTCGGTAAAGGGTGGTGTTCTCGAAGTGTTCTCTGCAATCCTGCAGCCATATATCTCTGCAACAATTAAAATTATATTACTTGAGGAACGCATTAGTCTCCATATAACTTATAGGCTATTGTAATTATAGGTAGAAGAAATTTCCACCTCGAGAGACTTATCTGCTTGCTGCTATTAAAATTTATTTACCCATCTTTCGGTAACCTTGATAAACGTTTCGGTAAACATGTAAGTAAAAATTCATAAATTCATTGAAATATTGATAAAGACATTCAAACATTTTTCAACATGTGCAGGTGAACTCTTATAAACCAGAGGTTATTTGGTCTGACGGGGACTGGGAGGCGCAAGACTGGTATTGGAACTCTACGTTGTTCCTGCAGTGGCTCTTCAACGACTCACCTGTGAAGGATACGGTGGTGGTCAACGATAGGTGGGGCATTGATATTCCTTGCAACCATGGATCCTATTACACCTGCACAGACAGGTACAATCCTGGTGAGCTATTTAATTATGACGCAAAATTATTTGTTGACAGGATTTACTAATAACTTTATTATATATTCACGTCTTACTAGATTTTATGAAAAACGTTGTGAAATGATTTTAAGCGTGCCGGAAAATGTCAGTAATGTCTTATATTGAGTGCTATAATTTTGTCTTATATTGAGTGCTATATAACTACAAGTGACATTTGGCAGTCGACACTTCTTACATAACGCGGCAGACGATTTAAACCTATTTTGACAAATATAAAATTAATTTGCACGTTGACTCCAAAGTTGTACATACTCGGATGCGCAGCATGAGGTATATCATTATTTACGTGGTGTTACATATATGTTACACTTATATATAACACTATATATATCTAATGTACATATATGTCATCAACACTTAATTTCAAAAAGTTCTTACTATACAAGTTACGAATTTAGTGTCAATCTATTTTACCGGTAGTAGAGAGATAGGGTCACAAAAAAAACATTTCATGCCTTAATATTTGGGATTTTATTTATAATAACACCTTTGTAAAATTTGTTCCGGTCTACTGGGGAAGTTAGGCAAAGTGTTAGATCCCTCCTAGTGTTTGTACATCAAGAACATCACAGATAACGTTAGGGAAACTGCAACCATCCGTTAAGAACACATCAGCTACAAGCCAGGAACACAGCTCCATCACTTTAGGAACACTGCAGCCACACTGCAGTGTTCCTAAGCTGTACTGTGATGTTACTTTAGTAACATCACACTGAATGCATTAGGTATCCACTCACCAGCCAGACTGACATTGTTACGTGACAGGAACACTGCAGCCGCACAAATGGGAGAACGCCATGACGCTGGACTTGCAGTCTTGGGGCTACCGCCGCAACGCCGCCGCCGTCGACTACATGACCATCGAGCAGCTGCTCGAGACGCTGGCCTCCACCATCAGCTGTGGAGGTGAAGTATCTGCATACAACCTTGCTTAATTTAAAATGAAATAAATATACATTTTGCATTTATATACTAATTAAAATTGCAATATATAATTCGAAAATAATTTGAGTTTTGCTGTCTGGGAAGAACGAGTTTGTTAATATTATATTTTTGTGTTTTTCATGATGAAATTACATGATTTTTGCCAATTAATTTTTATTAAAATATCTTGTCGACGAGCTGTAGTTTGGTTCATTTATTTATGAGTGTATTAGCAGCGGTCAATTTACTGGTGAGTTAAGCACTTCGTAATTTATACACCCGGCGAGTAATTAACGAGTGAGTTTCGTACCTCATAATTTATGCATTTTAGTAACGTACCTAGTGTCCAGTCCTTACAGAATATTAGCATAATAGAAGCCTAACCAAAAACAAAATGAGCAATCATTCTGCTAGTTTCATGTTAATAGTGATAACAAAAATAGAAAGATATAAAGTAAACAAACTATATTGCTACTTTCAGTCGTCGGTTCGTTCTGCTCTTGTGTTATGTTTTTTAAATATTTTATGATGTCAAAGTTGAGAACAATGACAATAAATGTAGGCTATATGAAAATGCTAAAAAATATAACTCAGTACTCACTGCAGTGATTGACAGAGAGCGCATTTTCTCGTCGACGAAAACGTGAAGTCACGGACGGACAGACAGACAGACAGACGGACAGACGGACGAACGGACATGGCGAGCTCAATTGTGCATTTTTTCCATACATGAGAAAATGCGCTAAAAAGTATATATATATATATATATATATCTGAAATAAAACGAATAAAAAACTTTTAAAAACCACTTTTTCTTAACGGACAAAAAAGAAAAACATTAACTCTTACATAACATTAAAGTTATGTAGAATGTTATGTAATGTTATGCAAGAGTAAATGTTTTTCTTTTTTGTCCGTTAAGAAAACGTGGTTTTTAAAAGTTTTTTTATTTGTTTTATTTCATTGTTTTTTGTTTTGTAATCACCAGAAAAACGTGGTTTTTAAAAAGGTTTTTTTTTACTTTTATTTTTTTCTACCTTTTAGCTTAGCAATTTTAGCATTGTAAAATTTAGCGACAAAGAAAACTCGATTCCCAACCGTGAATTTCTATTTTTTTATTAAATAAAAAATTAAAATTATTACTTCTGAGGATCAAATCTTGAATTGTTAGGCAGCATAAGCATGCATGCCAAATTTCAAGTTTCTAGGATCTTCAGAAGTGCTTTAAATTAAGGCTTGAATTTTTGATGACAGACAGAGACGAAGCGAAACTAAGAAAAGCGTGGTAAAATAGACAACAAGAGTCATGAGGCAACACTGTTTTTTTTAAAAGGCAAATCGTCTTCTGGGCAGTTAGCACTCACTGTTTAATCAGACACGGCAGGAGTATTGCAAAAGTTATCTGGCGTTAACAGGTTGACGATTAAAAAATCATCAAAGGACGAAATGAACAATCGAAAATGTTTTTAAAACTCTAACGTGTTGGTAGTACTTAATATAAACAATGCAATCCTTTTATTATACTACTTATCGACGCCATAGTTCATGAGTTTGGAGGTGGCAATGTACGGCTCCGTAATGTGAATAGATTCAATGAAGATGTGTGAGATGGTCAAGAGATGAAGCATAGCAAACGTATGTGGAAACTTTCGATTATCGTATGTGAAATTATTTCAATGACTAACGGTTCAAGTGATCTGGCACACGTGTTATGACAACCAAACTTTATTATTATTAAAAGTAGGCAAGAACGTTCATTTCAATAATTTTTATGAATTTAAACCACATATATTAAACATAACAGAGGATTATTGAAGTAGTGTTTTAACCGGGCCCATTGATGGCGAAACATGCTTAGTTACCTCGAAACAATATTTGAGTTTTGATCCTCAAAGTAAATACTCAATGTGTCAAGTAGATGTAATTTAAAACGTACGTGCTAACCAATTTCGCGATACAATTTCTTTTTTAGTTCATATCCCCGTAAATTTGTGTGCAAAAGCTAAACACTAATTTCGCTCAATTAGTGTGTAGAAGCTGCACACTAATTGGGGACGCATCATGAATGTCCCTGTGTAGAAATATTCGAAGAAATAACTTCCTGCTACGTGTATATAGAATCGGAGTCATTCTGATTCATCATGGATGAACTCATATTACCTTGCACCACCAGCATTATCTTAACCGTACGCTTATGCAGGCAACTTGCTGGTTAACATTGGTCCCACCCACGACGGGATGATCCCCGCCATCATGGAGGCCAATATTATCTTAACCGTACGCTTATGCAGGCAACTTGCTGGTTAACATTGGTCCCACCCACGACGGGATGATCCCCGCCATCATGGAGGCCAATATTATCTTAACCGTACGCTTATGCAGGCAACTTGCTGGTTAACATTGGTCCCACCCACGACGGGATGATCCCCGCCATCATGGAGGCCAATATTATCTTAACCGTACGCTTATGCAGGCAACTTGCTGGTTAACATTGGTCCCACCCACGACGGGATGATCCCCGCTATCATGGAGGAGCGTCTGCGTCAGATGGGCGAGTGGCTTTCCATCAACGGCGAGGCGATCTACGCATCGACGCCCTGGGCCGTGCAGAACGACACACTTACGCCTGGGGTCTGGTGAGTACACTCACGCCTGGGGTCTGGTGAGTACACTCACGCCTGGGGTCTGGTGAGTACGCTCACGCCTGGGGTCTGGTGAGTACACTCACGCCTGGGGTCTGGTGAGTGCACTCACGCCTGGTATGTGGTGAATGTACTTTCGCTTGGGGTCTGGTGACTTCATTCATGCCTGGGGTCTGGTGAGTGCATTCCCGCCAGGGGTCTGGAGAGCACTTATAACCCGGGGTTCGCGTGAGTGCACCCACGCCTGAGTCTGGTGGTGAGTGCACTTGCTCCTGGTGAGTGGCCAGTTCATCCACGCCATTGATTTGACTGGGTAATGTTCCATTACCGGATCACAAACTTGGAATTTAACAGCAAACTTTAAAATTTTATATCTTTAGCCATTATGTAGAGTTAACGAATAACCTGACTGACTGTTAATAAATGTCTTACGTTCAGGTTCACGAGTTCGGGTGGCGCAGTTTACGGCATCGTGTTGCACTGGCCTCAGGACGACCTGCTCACCCTCGCCTCCGTCAGCAGCACCGCCAGCACCTCCATCACCATGCTGGCGGACAGCCTTCAGGAGGTCTTGAAAGTAAGACCAATAAATAGATTAAGAGACCACTCTAGTACCTATGTCACCATGCTGGGGAGCAGCTACAGGAGGACCCAACTGTAAGATCAATAAATAGTGTTTTCCATTTGCACCTTTGCAGGAATATTTCTTTTTGAATTTTTAGCTGATCCGAAGCTTTAGATGAACCGTTGCTTGGTTCAGTTCCAGGAAGGTTCGCAAGGCCTGGCAATTTCACTGCCGCCAAAGTCGGCGGTGAGCAGCCAATGGGCCTGGGTGCTCAAGATGGAGGGCGTCAACCCTGTCGCGTCTAGAAGCCATGGCTCCTTGGCAAGGCGCTTTGACACCTTGGCAGTCCCTCGTCGCTTTGAATCATTGACAGTCCCGCGTAGGCACCGCTTGGACGGCCTTGCAACGCCTTGACACAAGGACGGCTAACATATGGCTTAATATCCCCGTGACGTCTTGACGACCGCACGTTGTCTTGTTGATTTGAAAGTCCCATAATCTATTATTGTTTTCCTAAATTCCTGCTTCCAGTTGTAAATTCTCTGTATTCATTTAGTTAACGCTAATCTTACCGATTCATAATGAAGCAGATAAATTGCCAACGATCAGAGAACTTGAAGAGTCGAACTGCAACCTTCGAAGCGAAGACTTAATGCCATGATTCTAAGTACTTTTTATGCATCATTATTGCACATCTGTAATAAAATTACAATCATGAATTTAAGTAAAAGAACTGTTAAGCTTAATTTGTATTTTTACCACATAAATAATAAATAATTAGTCACGTCGCAACGCTAGTTAAAAGTTAGAATTACTACCATCAAGACTTTTTACTTAGTTTAGTTTCCATGGAAAATTCGTAAGGGATTTTTGCAAATTTGTTTATAAGTTTGGACTTTGGAATTGATCGATAGTCGATTTTATGGAAACAATAATGCTATAAAATGAATGTGTCTATGGATATTAAGTTTTTCAGGCAGTAGGAAAGCAGAAACTATTCGCAGTCAAATTTATTCATCTCTCAGGTTTCAGCCGAGCGCCATGGATATGTAGCTTTCAAAACCAGTTTATTTTTTAATGCACATTCCTGTCAATTCATTCCGGATTTCAAATCTCTTTCGATTTTTTACATTGCAAAGTTGTCGTCATTAGTTTAGTCTACTGAACTACATTAGCTCCAGGGGGGATTTAACTATATTTCATGTGCACATCGTGCATTCAGTCTGATAAATATGCACACATTGAGTACCCTGATAATAAATATGCATACATTGCGCTCCTACTCTGCTGATAATTATTTGCTTACCAAGCATCCAGTTTGATAATTGGGCACGCATTGCGCACCCTTATTAATGATGCACAATTGAACATTCTTACATGAAACGATCACGAAATCAAGGCTCTGGCCTCATTATTGAAGAGAATGAGGGTCTGCCGATGCGTGGCTTAAAGGAAGAAGTCTCCTGAGTAGCAATTTTCCTGCAAATCAAAATCAAGCGACGCTTTAATTGAGTTACCGATCAAAAGTTCGTAGGCCATTTCGAGAAAAAAATTGAAGCGATCTGCTCATGGGAAATTTTCGTGTGAGGTTGATGATTCCTTCACCTCGAGTTATGGGCCATTAATATAGTTTTCGGATTTTTAAGCATTCGATAGAATTCGTTTCGCTTAAACCATTGTGTAGATAAAAATGAAATTTAGTAATAAAGATAATCGAATTAAACAAACTGGAATAATTAATTTAAATTATTCAATTTAAGTTTGAGGTTTGAATATTAAAAATAAAATAATAAAAGCGGTTACAGCGTTTAGTAGGCCGTAGGCCTGTCGCCGATTCTTAAACATCGCAGAACATTCACAGCATGTTGCGGCGCGCAGCGCACTGCTACAATTCTGCTATGCTTAACCGCCCGGCCTCCTTGCCGATTCTGACCAGAAACTGTCGCACAGAGCTGGGATCGAACCCGCGCCTCTCTGCTCCAATCTTGGTACTCTGAACTTTAACCACTAGGCCACCCTGCCCAGATATTGGCCGTTAAAAATTGATAGATTTTAGGGGCCGTTGCTATTTGCCGCATTACTTTACTTACCTTGAAAATAATGTTCACGAGAATGAGAATTTTTCTATTTTCCGCAGAAGGCCGAAATTCCGAGATTACTCGGCATGACAGGTTTCTTGCTAAAGTTCTGATTGAAAGTAAATTACCCAACACAGTCACCCTCGCGACTATAAGTTTTACGGAATTTTTTCGCAGTTATTATAAATTTTGTTCACATTTGTTCAATTCTTCATGTTTCAACAACGCATCGTGTTAAATTCGAGCTAGATTATTAATTAGATTAGCTACGGCGCAGGTTGTCAGTTTGATCCCTGACCACGAATAAACATGGCTTTGAAAAGGAAATGAAATAAGGAATGTTTTTAATGTAATCTAAATAAATTACCTAGAAGTCTTCATTCATATATTTTTCCTAAATTAACGACTCTGAGTATCTCCAAAGAAAACTATAGAAGGTTGCGTGAATAAAACCGTTATTGCCATCTGTCGACGTTTGTTGGAAATTCTATAGAAATTTCCATCTTTGGAAATCGGTCGATAAATTTGAAGCCACTTCTACAAGATGTCTTTGATTATGTTGGCGAAATTTATGGTACTAATGGAGAAAAACAATTTTAGAGGTCACGCTTAATTGTTAGGCCTGAGAGCACCATGCCTAAACGGCTGCCATATGGTATGATTGTTTGGATAACACATAGATCGGAATATCGGAATCAAATATTTCTTATTATTTTTCAACATTTATCATACGAAAACAATAGATCTGTACTTCATCTACGTTGTGCTCGTCGAAACAATGGTTATCTTGAAGTGGTATTATCACTGATAGGCGTTACCAGGCTATTTCCTAACGTTGGTCGACAAGCAGTCCTGATGTCAGCGCGAGCAGAGATGGAAGGGTCATAGGGTGGTAATAAAATGTATACGATGATTAATAAATGTATACGATAATAATAAAATGTATACGATTTATTTAATAATTAGATTTCTTCGAATACAGGATGTTTATTCAATACAAATTTTAGATTAAGTTGATCTTCGTCGAGACTGATTCTTAGTAGGTCAACCTGAAATTGTGATGTTGGTTTGCGGTTGTTGTGACCATACTTGTTTTAGTGGCTATCACCCTCATATTTTTTCTCCATTTCCTTGGAGGAAACATTCCAGAAGATAGGGAACCTTTTGGTGCTCTTTAGACGACGCTATTTCAGGACCTTTTTCTTCCAAGCTCTAGATGAAGTGCATATCGAAGACATGTACGTGCACATATATTAAGTGTTGTCGCTGGCTTTCCATCCATTCGAGGCTCATCAAAAATATGAACATCCAATAATAAGGGAAGATGGTACAATCTTCAAATTTACCATAAATCACCAGATTAGGAAAATTTTATGTCTCCATTGAGGACTGCGTGACGAAGTTCTTACTGTCATTGCCTGTACGTAGTATCCATTTAACAAATGATGTGATAAATAATTTCCTTGAATGAGCAGGTAAAATTCAGAACTATTAGAATCGTCGACCTTAATGCTGAAGTGGATAGCAGTGATGCTCCTTATTGGTAAGGACATTCAGTATACGTAACTAGTTTGAAAATTGATAGTCCGTATATCATCCCCTACCTATAATTAATTTCTGCCAGACGAGCAAGCTGTTGTTGGACATCTTAATTATCCTGTGTGTGACCAAGAGTCCTCGTATGAAGCTAAAATATTTTTAAGAATCACTGGATCACTGATACCAATTTTGCACATTTTTTGTTCAAACAGAATAACCAAATAGCAGAATAACGAATTATTTGCCGCTATTTCAACTTTCTATACGTTCCTCGTTGATCGTCGAGAGAACTTGGCTACTGTGGTCATGATAAAGTTGTCATTGAATCGTGATTTGTATAATAAAAAAATGATACTTTAACTCAAGCAATCCTTATTGCACCTCAGGAGCAGCAGCGCTGAGCGAGGCGCAGTACGCACCAACGTGGGAGTCGCTGGACGCGCGGCCGCTGCCCGCCTGGTATGGCGAGGCCAAGATCGGCATCTTCATCCACTGGGGCGTCTTCTCGGTGCCTTCCTTCGGCTCTGAGTGGTTCTGGGCGTATTGGCAAGGTGGGAAATTCTTTATTCACCGTATAGTTAAATTACAGTGAATGGTTATGGATTTCAGGATGTTTAGATCTTGATATTTTAATTTGGTGTATGTTGGTACATGAAGGAGGATCTGTCACAGGGAAGTACAGGGTGCTTTGGATATCAGTCGGGAGGTAGTTGAATCTATAGATCATGTAAAGATCCGTTTGGAAAATGCTTTTTCTGGCTATGCATGGGAGCAGAAATCATTAGAATTTTAATTTATACCTTTTTTACCTAAAAATTTTCCATTGTATGTGGATGGAGAGGGAGCCTATATACTATTTGAATATTTCAGTGTTGGTTCTAATAAGTATTTTATTTTTTAACGTATTACAGCTGTTATATGGCGTGTTTGTGCAGATATTGTCCTGAAAATTATTTGGTAATACCGTCCTCATTTTCCAGGATCTAAAGATCCTGCCTACGTGGAGTTCATGGAGAAAAACTACCGGCCTGGGTTCACGTACCAAGATTTTGCTGCGATGTTCACGGCAGAATTTTACAACCCAGTTGACTGGGCGGACATTTTCAACGCGTCTGGGGCCAAGTACGTCGTGTTGACCAGCAAGCACCACGAGGGCTACACCAACTGGCCCTCCAAAGTATCCTGGAACTGGAACTCCATGGACGTGGGCCCCAAGCGTGACTTGGTCGGTGAGCAAATAAACATTCAAGTCATGTATACTGGTTGAAATAAAATGACAATTGGAATCGACTTCATTCACGTTTTAAGGTTGTTGCTGAGAACAAAGCTGTTGTTAATGTATCACATTTTGGTTACTCCAACACGGATCAGGTTTGGCTCGAATACTTTTTTCACATTAGATATATCAAATGCTTAACGAATCAAAATCCCTGAACTGATAACCGAAGAAATAAAATTTTAATGATAAACATTCATATTTCTCGTTGAGCTATTTAAAATATCAGAAAACTTATAGTTCAATCTAACTCGGCCAGTTCTTTCAATGTGTTTAAATATCAAACTCAGTTTTTTTGTTTAATACACCTTGAAGGATGGAACCATCATATTGTTAGCTCAACGACAAAAATTATCGGTGTATAAGATAAATTGCGAATTAAATTTCTTTTTTCGAAAGTAAGCTACACTGAAATTTTTTTAAAGGGGAGCTGGCTGAAGCGATTCGTGCAAATCACTCGCACATCCACTTCGGCTTGTACCACTCCTTGTACGAGTGGTACAATCCACTCTACCTGAAAGACAGGAACAACAGCTTCCAGACCAACTATTTTATCGTGGATAGGGCAGAATGTCAGCTTTAAGATGAGACTAAACGGGTAACTAAGCTGCACCTCAAGCAGACACTGTATTTAATGTGCTGGGAACCGAATTTCCTCCGATCTAATTTGTTAAAGAACTCCCACCCTCCCTCCTTTCATGATCTGTTCTGAACGTATAAATCAACGTACAGAGATGGTAATGGTACCGTTGAATAGGACAGAATGTCAGCTTTAAGATGAAACTAAACGGGTAACTAAGCTGCACTTCAAGCAGACACTGTATTTAATGTGCTGGGAACCGAATTACCTCCTATCTAATTTATTAAAGAACTCCCCACCCTCCTCCTTTCATGATATGTCCTGAACGCATAAATCAACGTACAGAGATGATTTTGGTACCGTTGAATAGAGCAGAATGTCAGCTTTAAGATGAGACTAAAAACCAGAAAAGCCCATATTCAAAAATTTTGGCCAGACGCTCTCCTTCCTGCCTGCCTTTGAATTTTCTGCTTTTAGGTTCACGAGTTCGGGTGGCGCAGTTTACGGCATCGTGTTGCACTGGCCTCAGGACGACCTGCTCACCCTTGCCTCTGTCAGCAGCACCGCCAGCACCTCCATCACCATGCTGGGGGACAGCCTTCAGGAGGTCTTGAAAGTAAGACAAATAAATAGATGAATGGACCACTCTAGCACCTTCATCACCGTGCTGGGGGACAGCCTCCAGGAGGTCTTGAAAGTAAGACCAATAAATAGATGAATGGACCACTCTAGCACCTTCAACAACATGCTGGGGAAAAGCCGCCAGACGCAGCTCAGAGTAGACTCAATGGATAAATTTACTCGGACGCCTTTTTCCCCAAGAGGTATACAGATCTTCCCCTAGCAAAGTTTTTTTGTAAAGTTCAAACTTCTGACCAAGTATGACTACACTCGAATTAGAGTTATTTTGGTTCTGCTCGGCCCTCCGCTGGAAATCATATTCTAGTCATAACCTAGGGCCATGAAAATACCGCAAGAGTTGGCCGAAGCCGAGTCATACCGAGCTTGCAAGCCTCTAAGAGGCTGCACTTCATGCCCGGCCGAAGCGGACGCTGAGCTGCTTATTTACGCGCTCACCGATCGAGACCTGAGCAGCACCTGTTGCACAGTCAGGTCTGCATCAAAATTTTGTTAGGATGAGAGGCTCATGGCGTGTTCACAAGTTTGACGGCGCCGATTCATTCCCTAAATGCACTTTATTCATTCATTATGCATGTGACTAATCCCTTGCGGAGATCTGCACTATTTTTGAAGATTATATCTTTAAGAGAAAAATTCGTTTGCCTATAATAATTCAAGTGTCTATAATATTTAATAGGAGGATCTCTCTTTATTTGATTCATCACTGAAACATAATACATTTTCATCATTTTAGTTTTCATTTCAACCTTTTTCCTTGTAATTTCTCTCATTTTATATGCTAATATTCTTGAATTCTGTGGCCATGATATGTTTGCTTTCAGTTCCAGGAAGGTTCGCAAGGCCTGGCAATTTCACTGCCACCAAAGTCTGCGGTGAGCAGCCAATGGGCCTGGGTGCTCAAGATGGAGGGCGTCAACCCTGTCACTTCTAGACGCCTTGACCACCCGGCGACGCCTTGGCGATTCAACGACCATCTAACGCCTAGACGCCTTTATGACGTCGTGGCGTCAAAAAAAAAAAACCGTGATGCTTTAAATTAATGAAGATTCAAGGACGTTTCTTAAGAAACCGTCAGTAGCGCAATGTTTTTTAGAGATCAGCAGGGGCCATACTTTCCAAACTCGCTAAGAGAACGTAAGTACTTCCGCTCTATTTTCTTTTCTATGATTGGTGAATTTTGCTTGAAAGGCCGTCAGTGATTGGCTGATGAACTTACGATCTCTTAACTTTTTTTGAAATTATAGGCCCGGGATATAAACTGAAAACATATTTGGAGCTCATGAAATCCATTACAAGACCAGACGACACAAGCGTTCTGGAGGCAATCCCTCCAATAATTTGATATCGAAAATAAAATCGTAAGACGTTGCAGATATAGCATTATTTTGTTAGTGTAATACAATTGATTTTGAATTCTCTTATTCTTCCAAAAAATTTAAAATATTTTTCGCCATGGTAAGCGAAGTTTGATTCGAAATTCAAACGAATATTGTATTAAACTTGCATTACTTCTACCTGCTTTTCTTATTCATTTTATGATCTGCAATAGTTTTGAGTTTAATAATTATTTTAACACCAACACCGATTCACCTTGCATAAACACATACCATACATATAACCAAGATAATGCAATCACGGTCGAAAAGTATGAACTCTTTCAATTGCCGGGAAATTGACCTTTCACATCCCGTGAATGGAAAACGATTTGTCAAATTAATACATTTATTTTCCTTAACTATACATTGTAGGTAACAAAATTAAATTCCACGAAGCTTTTAGGAAACTTGGCATTTTTCTGCACAGCGTCCAACATTTTGTAAACATCAATATCTAATAAAGGCACGAATGTTTCACAGTTTCTCTTTTGGCGTTTCTCTTTATTTTTTACATGACAGTTCATCTCGCCTCATCCAGAATTTATTATAATTTGTCTAGGTGGAATTAGAAATGAAATCTAATGTGCTTGAAACTTCTAGAACATTCAAGGACATTAATAATTTCTTGGATAATATTCTGAAGAATTAAATTACACTTTCTTCCAGATTCTAAAGTCCAAGGAAAAATTTTGTCCCCAGCAAAGAATAAAAAATGTAACCCAGTATTTACTGCAGTGAGTGACAGAGAGCGCATTTTCTCGTCGACGAAAACTTGAGGTCACGGACGGACGGACAGACGGACAGACAGACAGACGGACATGGCGAGCACAATAGTGCATTTTTTTCATAAATGAGAAAATTCGCTAAAAATAGTGCAGAACTACCGGCTATCTTTAAATATTTTTCCCACCCTACATCGATTTTAATTACGTTTATTTTACCTATTAATGAAAATACATTACAAACAATGACAATCTGAAAGTCAGCTTAGAATTATAACTAAAAATATCTGGTACTAATCGGGAATTATTTTTACACCCATCGTCAAGCAGTAATTAAGTAAAACCAACTGAAAATAACAAAGTTATTTTTAATATCTAGATACGGAATATCAAAAATGCGTACACCGACCATAGTTACGTCTATCATCAAAAGCTTGAATTAAACAAAGCAACTAAGCACAACTTGGAGGCTCACACCAACAAGTACATAGTATGATCGTATCTGCAGCTCCAGCGACACCAGCAGCAGAAGCAGCAATAGCAGCAGCAGCAGCAGCAGCAGCAGCAGCAGCAGCAGCAGCAGCAGCAGCAGCAGAAGCAGCAGCAGCAGCAGCAGCAGAAGCAGCAGCAGGAGAAGCAGCAGCAGCAGAAGCAGCAGCAGAAGCAGCAGCAAAAGCAGCAGCAGAAGCAGCAGCAGCCGAAGCAGCAGCAGCAGCGCGGCAAGCAGCAGCAGAAGCAGCAGGAGCAGCAGTAGCAGATGGTGGGCAGCTCTAATTAAGCTTTAGTGTACAGGCAGTTTGTCTCCTACAGAGCATCACTCACAAGCTCTGTTGTCATACGCACTCTTGCGAACTTGCGCAGCACAAATTACAGCTCCGGCACATATATTAACTAACTCTCGAACGTCCCTCAAGAGGGTGAGTTCATGTGCGTGTTTCATCATAGGTTTTTATACAGCATTTTAGATCTTTATTGATTGCATTGTTGTACAGATAAAGTTTTCGGGTTGTACTCAAATTCTCATGTATCTCATTTTTGTATAAGTTAAGTTTTCGTATTATAGCAGTTCAGCTCCTTTTGGATATACAGGACCAATATTGAAGAAATATTGACTGAAGAATTATTGCAATGATATATAATAAAACCATACGAGTTTTAAGGTCACGAGTGACACATTTAACTTGAGCACAGCGGCATATGGATGCATTTTTTGTCGAATTAATAACACCGTTAATATGACAAGACAAAATATATGTTAATAAATAAATAAAATAATGTTAATATTTATAATGCTGATAAACTGAATAGTCTTTATTTATGAAAAACAGTAGTGACTGTGGAGACTTTGTTCATGGAAGTGTTAGACTTGTGCACAATATTGCACAGATTCTGCAGGGTTTCTAAGTTTGCGCTGCGCAGTCCTGACCAATCGAGACATAATTGGCCATTAAAATTTAACGGCGCTGATTGATTTCTTATGACGACTCATTAAGTATCGTCTTGATGTGGTTCATGCTGAAATTTGTTTCAATTTTTGTGAATTTATATCGTTTCATTTTACAGGAAAAATATAGAGAAATTTTGGCAATAACTGGCCAAGATACAGCATTGTCATTGATGTTCTAATTTTATAATGTTGTTCTTCCACTAGTTTGCATTAAATGAGGCATCGCTAACACCAAACTTGTCTCTAAGTACATCAGAAACTTTTTTCTTCCTTCGGTGCCGCGTGGTGAAGTTTTCAAGTGAATGTAGTTAGTGAGGCAACAAGCCATCCATTTAAAATCTCTAAGACTTAATGTTTCAAGTAAAATAAGTTTAGCGACATTTTGGAATAGAATAACAGAATTTAGTGTTGGAATGAAATAAAAGACATGCCTTCAGTCTTTGGTTTGACCAACCAAACGTCACGAGTTTTCTAATCTTTCTGCAGATCTGAAATGCCAAATTAACAATAAAAATTGTTTTCTATACGGTGCGCTTGTAGCGAATGCAGAAAAATTTTATGGCCACATTTTTAAAGTCACTAAAATTGGACACCAGTCGAGCGAGAAACTTACAGTTAGTTGTGAAAATTGTACATTTAGCCGGATGGTGAAGCATAGCAAGTTTATAGCAGCTACTAGCGGGTTAGAAACTCGCAGCTAAATATGAAAATTATGCGATGACTAGAATCGATCACGCATGGCCTAATCTTCAAGGCTGACACCACAATATTATTATTATTACTATAGAATTTGTAGGCTATGCTGTACGCGTCGAA